GACAATTTATTAAAAAAATGGTCGATCATAGCCAATGTCAAATTTTTTGTAAGTTAAGTAATTACACTACTATGTGCTCTATTATAATTATGTTCTTTTAAGTTTTCTATTAGTTTTATTTACTTTTGCTCGTTAGTAGTGCAATGTAAATGTAAGGTGAATGTATCTTCAAGTCCTTCAATAATTATTTTCTGCAAGTGCGTCTGTCTAGGTTGGGTTGATGAAGGAATATGTTGCATCGATTGTGGGTGATATACAATTTTTTAATTGACCGTGTGTGCGTACGTGTATGTATGTATGTATGTATGTATGTATGTATGTATGTATGTATGTATGTATGTATGTATGTATGTATGTATGTATGTATGTATGTATGTATGTATGTATGTATGTATGTATGTATGTATGTATGTATGTATGTATGTATGTATGTTTGTATGTATGTATGTATGTATGTATGTATGTATGTATGTATGTATGCATGCATGTATGTGTTTGTGTGCTTATAAGTATAAATGTATGTATAAAAATGATAACCAAACTAATTAATTAATCAATCAATCGACAACAACCAACCAGTGAACATTAACATCCGTAACTCTCAGACACATCAATCGTTTATTAATTAGATTGTAATTAATTGACAGCCGGCTTCAAGTAGAGGTTTCTATCGTAATTAATTACGTGATGTGTAAGTGATGTCTGTTTGGTGAATAAGGATAATTAATTTAACTCTTTCTAGCCCGTAATTAAGCAAGAGTGAATGCATTAAAACCTAATAAAGTTTTTTCAAAACAGGAAAAATATTGTATCCGGATGAATTGGAACTTTCGAACCAGGAAACAAGCTTAAAAGATCGTATGTGATATATTCAAATATAAAATAAAGTATCTACAAATTATAACACGACCAAAGTTCGACATAAAAACTTTCATTGTTCAGCCAAAAAACGAATAACCTTTGAGTTTCATATTGTCTGCACCTAGCTAATTAATTAATTAATTAATTAATTAATTAGCTAATTAATCAATCTAATGAGAACACTCTTACTACAGTATGAACAAATAATAAATAAATAATAATGTTGACTGATAATAATTGTAAGATCAGAACAGTTTGTACCATGATTTTAATACTGAAGTTTATTATTTTATTATCACATTAGCTGTTGGTTTGACTTGACCATGTCCGGTTTGGTGTCGACAGAGGTGGCCAGCATGAATACGACCTGAATTAAAAGTTGAATTATGGATTAGGAATTGTGAATTAGGAATTATTTTGAATCAGAAATTATAAACCTTGAAATAAACAAAAACTAAATAAAAGCTAAAACCAAATAAAAAAAAAACAAATTTTTGTAAATTAGAACACTCTGTAGAACCAAGTAGTAACTGAAAAACTCGTATGAAAGTTTACCCTACATACACTATAATAACTACAACTACGTCATGCGTCGTCATATATACAAAATGTAATGTGTGCGTGCGTGCGTGCGTGTGTGTGTGTGTGTGTGTGTGTCCAAATGATTGCCACGAAATTTAAATCTAAATAAAACATTCTATAAAAGTTTTTAATAGAAAATAAAAGACTAACATATAAATTGGAGGAAGTTGAGTTGTTAAAATCCAGACTAATATCATCGATATAAACGAACGATTGATTGTTTGAACGGATGAACGAACGAATGAATGAAAAAATAAATAGATGGAAGAACAATTAAGAGGATTGAGTGAAAAAATGAATGAATGAGTGAGTGAATGAATGAATGATTAAACAAAAAACAAACGAAAGTAAACCTTACCTGGAAAATCGTCGTTACTGCAGTTCATTGCACCGACCCCCATTGGAGCTGCACCCAAAATGTCCTGTAAGCATGCCCATTCGGTCATGTATAACACCCAACATCGTGTGTTAGGAAGCGCCGAAAAAAAACATTCGAAATTGTCACATTCGAAACAAAGTAAAATAAACAAAAGCTGACTCAGATTCTGGTTTTAATAGCGATTTTAGTGAGCATTGCTAACCATTTTCATCAGAAGAAGGAAAAGAAGAAGGAGAAGAATCATTATTAATTCATTCACTCATTTTTTCTTCCAGATCAAAAAGTGCACAACACAGAAAAAGATTTCATAATTATATTATGAACATATGGCCTGATGCTGAATGCTGCAATGATAATAATTATCTTTGGGGTTTTTATCCATTTAATTCATTTTAATATTTTTTTTTATAAAATATTTATTTATTTAATAATATTAGGTTATTTATCGAAAAAATTGCAAATAAATAATTTAATTTATCTGCGTAGGTTGCCAGACAGAAGCAAAAGCGATGTCGTCAGAATGAAAGGCAATTACAATAACGACAACAAAATAATAACAACAATAATAATATAATAAAATGTTATAACAATAAAAATAAAAACAACGACATAATTAAATATTAAAACACGGACAATTGATAATTACAGATGTTGTTACGACTGGATGTTACTAACAAGTCTAATTAAGACCTACTTACTAAAGGAACTAATTAGCACGTGCTGTTTCCGTGAAGTTTGCATGTTGTTGGTTGTGGTTAAATTCTCAAAGGCCTCCCACGATAAACTTTACACAAAAAAGCCCTGACCCTAACAACCAAAAACTGATACTTTAACTATAACCCAAAACTCGCTAGTTTTGGTGAAACATGGCAATTGAAATTTGAGCAAAGAGACTTGAAGTATTTTTTCATTATCAAAAATCCAAAAGAAATTGTCATTTAAGCGCACGTGTAAGCAACTGAAGAGTTCTCCGCTAAAGTTTTGTTGTACTCGTACAATATTATGGTAATATTCAATGATAATGTAATGTTGTCAGACTGTTTAAGGTCGCAAATGTTATTTTATTTTATTGCCGATAACAAGATGAATTTTTATTATAAATCTCAAAATGTTAAAATGAAAAGACAGAAAGCTAAAAAGTTCACTTAGAACACTCTGTAAATATTTAGAGTTTCACACTTCTATGTCCCCTGCATGTCAGTTTAAGAATGGAGCTTCTCAATCCGAACATTGCATGCAATTCAAAACAAACACGTGTAACAAAAAACACTTACATTATTAACTACCTTAGTTGGGGGGTAGAGTCCACAGTATATCGCACGAACATCGCAAACTTATGTGACCATTAGAACCGCGCATTCGTCGTACAATTAAACGTACTGAGAATAATTGCGACCGCGTAACTTAAAAAACGCGTTAAACACAAAAAATGATTTATTGTCAAAAGTACTTTCACGATTTTCAATTTTGAAATTAAAATAAACAGGAGAAGTTAAAAGCACAAATTAACCGAACTGGGAGAAGTAGAGTTGAACTTTGGCTAAAATGAAAATTATGAAGAGGTTGGCATTGGCAACATGTTTTGCACGACGTTCATGTTCTTGGGTCGTTACAAAACTACGAGATATTTCTAATTGACGATAACCTGTCATGTTACAAACCATCTAAAAATAAATATAGCATAAAATTAATCACGAGATATTTGTCTAAACATAAGAACCTTCGATTTGATGGAGAAGGAAACTATTCGTGAAAACAAAATTATCCTAAGACAAACTTTTTAACGTGCAGCTAATGAGAAAAAAGTTCAACCAAATGCAAATAAATGGTGAAAATAATATTAACAATATCCTTATTAGTATCACTCTTAACGCTCTAACAATTACGGAAAATAAAACGATATTTAAAAATAATTTCATGATTTAATTGAGGAATTATTGTCATTGCATGACATATGGTTGAGTTTACATAAATATATTAATAAATAATAAATATATTTTACCTTTTTTCAATTCTTACAAATGAATAAACCTTTAAACATCCATATTTATACACATATAACAGGTCTATAATTATTAATTTGAAACATTATATAAACGACATTGTCAGTAAATAACACCACACAACCAACAAACAACAAAACTTAATAATATGTTATTAAAATAATAATAATATTATTATTTTTATTATTAGTATAAATAATATTAAAAAACTAACGAAAAAAAAGATGTGAAACGTTTTAGCTCAGCAGATGAAAATGATAAGACCAAAAAAATTCAACCTAGTTACTTGAAATAAAAAATAAATAATTAGAAGAGTAATAATAACAATAAAAACAATAATAACAAAACAATAATAATGTAATGACATTAGTGACAGTAACAATTAATTTTTCATCAAACTAACAACAATATACTACAATTCGGTCAAGTTAAAATCAATGTCAATATATATTTGTGAATGTGTGTGTGTGACTTATCTTTAAAAATTTGTTAAATCATTTTATTTATAATTACTGAAAATTTTCAATTAATTTCAAAAATTACAAATTAAATTTATAACAAAACAGTTAAACGAAAAAAAAACTAAACAAAAAGCACCTCCTGTGTAAGTTACCTAACCAGACATTAAGAGTAAAGATCCAATTAGTAACGCCCATATCTATCTATAATTAATGTTAATCGAACGGAAAGTTAATTAATATGTAAATGCAGTAATCATTATTTCTAATATAATTCGCATCTCTACTGGCTGCTAGTATAGAATAAGTCGTACTCATCATCAAGCCGTGGTTTAAGTGCTTTGTTCAATTTCATTGATTCAATCATCCAAAATTCAAAGTTGTATATTATATATTATATCCATTTTCTCTCTCTCTCTCTCTCTCTCTCACACACACACATAAATTGTAGATGGGGGTAAAAAAAATTTCATAAACATTTGTTGTAAATCTCAATTATCTTATCATCATCAACGACGTCACCGTCATCAAGTCATCGTCACCAACATCGTCATCATCACGATCGTCATCAAACGCTAATAACATTCCAACCTACAAGATTTCAAATCCTAGACTATCACTTCCTAGATCATAAAATTAAAAAGAATCAACCAATGAAAATTCATTGAATTTAAAATCGTCAAATTATATTTTGAGATTCCAATTCAAAGGAGCCAATTAGGCGGCAACTGTTGCTTTGGTGCTGGCCAGTAGGGCGTCGCATGTTTTCTTGGCGTCACCCAACAACATCCAGGTGTTGTTCTTGAAAAAGACGGGATTGTCAACTGCAGCAAACCCAACCCCTAGCGTTCTCTTCATTACAATCACCTGGAAGTTTTAAGAAATGGTTAATTTTATAGATCAATTAGCGAAATCCTGATTATAAATAGTCTATCATCATGTAACAACAAACAATGTTACTCATTTGAATAATCACACTTTTAATGATAAAAAATCGTAACCCCATCACTACCATTATTCCCGCACAAATCGTCGCCACTAGCTACTACATGACTTCAGCCACTAACAAGATCCGCTACAGCAAATCAAATTCAATGAAATCATCTCAACAAAATCAACTCCATCACAACAGCCCAACATAGGCACCCCCACAAACCTGCTTGGACAGCCATACTCTAATGACGGGCATTCCAGCGATGATGGAGTTGGGGTCTTCCTCGGCAGCAGAGTTGACGGTGTCGTTGGCTCCGATGACGAGCGTCAAGTCGATGTTGTTTATTTCAGGGTTGACCTCGTCCATCTCATGCACGATGTCATACGGCACTCCTGCTTCTGCCAGCAGAACATTCAACTGACCTGGCATACGACCTGTGATTTTGTTGGTGGGTTGGGGTTTGAAAATTTTGCAAAGAACAACGGTAGAACTTGCCACAATTTATTTCACGAAAATATTTAACTGTTAACATCTGGATAGTATTATGAAACTATTTAAATTCCCCTAACAAATTAGTAAACTTTCACAGAGTGTACTATCCTTTCCACATTGAATATTTAATAACTATGATGAAATAAATTTTGAAAGTCTCAACCAAACAAACCTGCAACAGGGTGGATGCCAAACTTGACATTCTTTCCCTTGGATCTCAGCAACTGAACCAACTCAGCAATGGGATACTGGGCTTTTGCAACACACAAGCCATAGCCAGGAACGATGAGGATGTTGTTTGCTTCATTGATCAGCTCGACAGTTTCATTGACCTTGATCTCCTTGTGCACTCCTTCAATCTTCATTGCCTGACCGCCTGCATATGATGATGTTCCATACCCACCAAGAATGACGTTCGGAAGGCTTCTGTTCATTGCCTGTCATCATATGTTGTTCGTCGGTTGATTGGATCAGAATGAGATGAACAAAAATTGTGTAGCTATCTTCCAAGAGATCAACATAAAACAAACATTTCACTACATTACCGACACTTCACAATTACTCATCACTACAACGTAACCAGCCTTGCACATGATGTAGGAGAGGATGGCACCAGATGATCCAATGAGAGCACCAACAACAGTCATCAGGTTGTTGTTCAACATGAAACCTTCGGCACACAGAGCCCAACCTGAGTAGCTGTTCAACACTGTTATCACTACCGGCATGTCTGCACCTGTCATTCAGATAACAAATTTGTGTTTATAATGTGATGATGTCATTGCTCTAACACATGTTGAATGTCAAGAGATACTACTGTATTATAACTATTTGGTTCCAAATTTTTAACAGAGGATGCATTCATTTCTCTCAATCTAAAACTATCACATTACATGATTTTGTCACCAAGTGCCAACCTCCAATAGCCATGGTCAGTGTAACTCCCATAACAGCCGACAGGGACGATGTAGCACCCAGCATGTACAAACCCGTGTTCATGTCATTGGTCATCATGAAGTATCCCATGGCAGCTACGTTGGCCAGTCCCAGACTTGCGTTCAAGGGATGGCGACCAGGGAGAAGTAGTGGAGAAGAGTCCAAGAGACCTGTCAATGATTCATAACTAAATGTTTAGCTAATGTATATATTACAAAAAAATATCAAAACAATCTAATTCCCATTGTTATGACAAAATGCATATAAAACACTCAGCTGCCAATGTCATATTGTCATTCTCATAAGTTCCATCAATGACAGGAACCTTGGAGTTTTCCGAATGCGACAAGCGATCCAGTGAAAGTGACTCCACCAATGTATGTACCAAGGAAGAGGGCAGTCTTTGTGACGTTGGCAGCAGGGTCGGTGTCGAAGTGAGGTTGTTCGGCCATGTAGTTGGCCAGGCAAGTGATAACTGCTGCTGCTCCGACCAAGCTGTGGAACAGAGCAACCATCTGTGGCAAGTCCGTCACCTCCATTCTTTTGGCCATCACTGTTCCAATTAGAGCTCCTGTAAAAAGCATGAGTGAGGAAATGTTAAAATGAAATGATCGAAAAATAAGATAATAAATTTAAAAAAATGAATATTAACCATTCTAAGTAATTAAGAATAAACAAAAAAATCGTTATCAACTGACCACTTCCCATGCAAGCAATCATCTGAGTGAGCACTTCATTGGTTGGCTTCATGATGCCAAGCGTGGCTGCGAGACCTGAAGAAACACCAATCATTCCCAGCACATTACCCAGCCTAGCAGTCTTCTGAGAAGAGAGTCCAGAGAGTGCCCCCACACAACAGAGGGAGGCAGCCAGGTAGGTCATCTGATGGACATCTGGATAGTTTCCTTGAGTGGCCAGTCCATATCCACCAATAAATGCAGTGGCAGGAATGAGAAAGAGGTATTTGTGCTCGGGAGGGTCCTCTGAGAAATTGAAGAAAATGAATTTGATGACGTGATGGGCAGTGTTTGAATTTACAAAATAATTACTACGATGCTAGTGTAAGTTTGAATGTGTTCGTGCATGATTACCACCAGCTTAATAAGTAAACTACACTGCAGAGTGTGAGCATTAGTAATTACGCTACAGGAACATCAGTAATATAAATTAATATTAATATTGTTGATGCGCCCGTAAAATCTCATCAAAAATTTCATTCAACCAAATCAATATGAACTGCAAACAAACCAGCAGCTACAAAAACCATAAACAGAAACGAACATCGAAATAAACAAAATCCCAAAAATGAAAATCCCATTTAACCTGGCCTCTTGAACATGTCCAGCATCCTCTGCGTGACGAGGAAGCCACCACCGATGTTGATGCATGATATGAAAGCGGCTGTAGCTGCAAGAGCTTCAATGGTATTTGTGGGGTAATATCCACCACCCATCAAAATCATCCCACCTACTGCTGTTATACCCGAAATTGCATTGGTGACAGACATCAGAGGGGAGTGGAGGGCTGGAGTAACTCCCCAAACCGTGTGGTAGCCTGTTATAAAGAGGGTAAGTTATTCAGTTATACACGAATAAGCATGGATAGAATTAATATTTGTTGGTGAAATGAATGGGGAAGGTTAAAAAGATGATTAAGTAGAGTTTGTAATGAAACAGCAGGTTTTTCAATATTTAGCCATATTATATAAATTTGCATAAACTCAGCTGAATGAAATTATATAACTATGACAATAATTACTTTCACCAAAACAATAATTATATCTTCATCACAAAAAATTTTTCAATAAATCCTATACTAACAAATATATAATATAGCATAAATAAAATCATCATACAAATAAAGCATTATACACTATATAAGTATAACACCATACAGTTGATATCGTTTAAATATGTCATCTTAAAAATATGATACCATACCAAACACACATGTGTGGACCAAACAATTCTCTTACCAACAATGCCAGCCAATCCGAATGTTGTGACCATTGTTGTGAATGCAGGATTGGGTGAAACACATCCAAGACCTGGTGATGTACGTACATATTGCATCATCATTGCTGTCATCATCAGTGTCAGCATCATTGTTATCATCATCACCACCAACATCATCATTAACATTAACATCAATTTCCCAGCAAAGAGCTCACCCAAGATGCCACCAAGACCAGCAGTGTACATGAACGATTCCTTCAGCGTGTTCATGAAATAGTTGGGGGGTGCTTCCTCCTTCTTGACCACCTCGGCTGGTTTCTTGGCAGCAGGGGGAGATGGATCAACGATCACTGGTGGAGGCCACAGCAACTGACCCTGCCAATCAATTCAATAATTTGAAGAAGTGTTTTTTGTTTGTTTGACTAGATAGGGCCCTTAATGTTAAATGTGACCAAATTGTGTTTGAGTATGATCATTTAGAGATCTTGAAATATGAAATTCTGAGCATGTCTGAGCATATTTTTAAGGCCACGTAAAAAAAATGTATGAAAAGAATATTTACAATGGTGATACCGATGATTATCAATGAAACCAATATAAATCATAAACAGGGCAGAAGGTTAAAAAAGTTTAATCTGGCGCCACATTCATAAGGAAGAATGAAATGACTGACAAAGGTCTCAACGTCCATCTCACTCCACTGAAGTTGTTCACTAAATTCAATCAAAAAAATAAGAGTGGAAGAAATTAAGTTTGTACCTGGTGTGAGACAATAGACCCTCGAATGACATCATCTTTCAGGTCGACATAGTAGTGATCCTTCTGACCTATATACATATTTTTACATAATTATGTTAAATATGCTTATATTTGTATTAAAAGTTAAAACATTTTAACTTAATAAAGCTGCTAATTTTCTAAACACTGAAACAATGATAACAAATCAACACAATTAACTCTAAATCTCTAGATCAAAAACAATCCAGCTATTGAACAAAATAACACAAACTGAAAAAAAAATCTGGCCAAGTAGCCAGCTAACCAGCCAGTCAGCCAGACAGATAGCCAACTAGCCAGCCAACCTTTTAAACAAAACATTGAACCAACCAAAAGAGAGCAGTAGTTTGGAAATGTTGTTGGCGTAGAGGGTGCTTGATTGGGTGGGCAGACGACTTGGAAGGTCAGTGTATCCAATGTGAGTCACTCCATGATGAACTGTTAGCTGTCCTGGTGTAATGGTCTCGATGTTGCCACCTGCCTCTGCTGCCAAATCAACAACCACAGAGCCAGGTTTCATTGATTCGATCATTTGCTAGCAGGTGGCAAATGTGAATATTAACGTTTTATGTTAACTCTACGACAAAATCTCAAACAACAATTTTAATGTTTTGGGGAACATTTGTGAGACTGTCAGAGAAAGTTGAATTCATATATGAAATAATATATAACAGAAAAGTTAGAAAAGTAACAGTGATGAAAACAATGAAGATCACCTTTGTGATGAGAATAGGCGCCTTCTTGCCAGGAATGAGAGCAGTGGTGATGATGATGTCGACCTCCTTCGCTTGCTTGGCAAACAGAGCCATCTCGGCCTCAATGAATTCCTTGGACATCACTTTGGCATACCCACCTCCTCCCTCACCTGATTCCTTTCAATCATTTCAAATGATATTTATTAATTCAACATTTTTAATTAGCTATTGACTAGTCTTACCAAGATATTTCTACCTATTGAATCATTTGATATCTAAAAGTTTTTAGAGAGTGGTTCTTTGTGAATCTTCAATTGTTCAATAATTTATGAAAAATTCAAAAAGCACTCAAGATAAGATAGGGCAATAATCACCAGCAAATTAATTATAACATATTTCAAAGATATTGAGCAGAAAAAAGAATCAAAAGAAATTGTTAAAAATTTTGTCTTCTTCAGATGTCTACAATGTTAAACAACAAACAACAACACACGTTTAGATGACATTTTCCCTGAAATCGGGGTTGCCGTTTGGCTACCTATGATGAAACCATTGTCACTTCTGTCATCATAAGTAATTTATTTGGCTAATTTTTATGCAGGACGCCCTTCCTTACGAAACCAGTTATAAGCGGTGGGCCTAGCCTTTGATGATCCAACATCACTCACAAGGCAGTGAGGGTCAGTTTAATGTCATAACCAGGACAGTCTACAATGTTAAAACAGAACTTAATTTAAACAATGACCACCACACTTACCTTAACACTGACTTCCAGAAACTCAGCCCCCATACTTTTTGCTTGTTCTCTAACTGCCTCTCTTGTATCAAACACTCGAACTATAGCTCCCAAATTTTTGGCTGTCCCAATAGCTGACAAACCAGCAACACCACCTCCGATGACCAACACTTTTGCTGGAGGTACCTTGCCTGCTGCTGTTATCTGGCCTGCAAGGTTTTTATTTCAAGAAAAATATAATATTAAGAGAAGTGTAAAATATATTTTACAGTACTGACACGAAATAGAAACAACTTGGTTTTGATAAATGCATGCAATAAAGCAGCAATTAATAAAATAATATCAAAATAAAGGCTGAACAATTAACATCAAAATGAGAAAATATAAAAAAAACAATCCCAACCAGTAAAAAATCTGCCAAAATGATTTGCTGCCAACAAAACAGCCTTGTATCCAGAGATGTTGGCCATAGAACTGAGAGCATCAAAAACTTGGGCTCTTGATATCCTTGGAACACAGTCCATGGCAAATGCAGTGACATTCTTCTTCACTAAAAGGTCGATGAGTTCCTTGTTTTGTGCAGGATACAAGAAACTGAGAAGTGTGTTGCCTGCCTGTAGCTTATTGGCCTCAGCAATAGTGGGAGCTCTAACTTTCAACAGTAGGTTAGAACCAAAAACTTCCTCAACAGCTGTGGTTTTCACAATTTTGGCACCTGCTTGCTCATAATCAGCATTATTAAAACTTGCAAGAAGTCCACAATTTTCTTCAACTTTGACAGTGAATCCTTTTTTGGTTAGTGTTTGAACTGTAGCTGGAGCCAAAGCAACTCTTCTTTCATTTGGAAAGATTTCTTTTGGAACACCAATTGTCAATTTAGTGTAAGGAGTTCCTAATATTGGAGCTTCTTTTTTTGCCTCCTTTTTTGCAGCTTCTTGAAAAAGACAGCTTGAACTTCTCAAGTTCCTGGTCACAATGCAAATAGATTTATGAGTTCTGCTGCCAAGATTGTCAACCAAAAATGAAGTAGCCACTTGAATTCGAAACATTTTTGCGGTGTACCAATTCAATCTGCAGTTGCAAATAATTTCAAGAAAATTATAAATTTTATTTTTAAAAAAGTATATGAAAATGGCTGGAATTTGAAAAATTCCTAAAAACCGAAAGTTTAAGACTTAAGTCAAGCAAAGGTCAACATGACAGGCCAACACTTCATTCATTAATTTATTTAATTTGGTTAATTTTTAAAAATCATTTCTAGATTAACAGAGAATAAAATGAAAATAAGTCAAATAAGTCAAATTTTTTAGCATCATTTTGTCCTTGAAATAAGTTAGGTGACATACCACTTTTTATGAACATAAGCATTCAGAACAATAAATTGAAAATTAATTTAACAAAAAAATGAGCTTTAAATAAAATTTATCTGAAAATAAATAGGATGGAGACGAAAATAAGAAAGATAGGAGCAGACGACCAACCGTGGTTACAACGATGGTACAGCCACAGCATACATGAAAATTTTACTCACCAGGGAAAGCAATGCGCCTACCTACTGATGTGCAAGAACATTGCTGTTAAGAAAGAACATTCAGTGTGGACAACCAAATACATTTTTTCAATACTACTATATGCCAATACTAATATATGTACTTTTATAATAGTATAAATTTATTATCAAAATATTAATGTATTCAACGTGGTTTATTAGCAAACCACAGCCCATAACTTAAAATTTTATAGACAGCAACTTAAAAGAGTCAATATTATTTTTGGTATTTTCACAAATAATCATTTTAATTTACAGTTGAAGTTAGGGTTACAGCAACTAGACTCAACTTTCTAGTTATCAGTCAAAATTATTCTATACATATATGGTTGCAACTTTAAAGTAATCATAAGCATTTATCAGTCATAACGTTTAACTTATTTCCGATGTACGTGTATTTAATCATATGGAATTTTTTTTCAAAGTTACACAGAGAGAGAGAGAGATGCCAAACTGTTATCTACATGGAATCATGTGTGCAGAAAATAAATTATGTCAGGTCGTATTGAATGATCGTTATAACGCGTTTATTTAGTTAGCTACCATGCGCTATGCTCACAAACATTCCTCGTCATCAGACACCATTTCAGGAATATTGTGTCATCCCTCCTGATTCCTTTCAGCACAATGTTCCCAGCTTATCATGTTTTTTTTTAAATCTGCTTTATGTTTAATATAGTTCAGTTTGCATGTGCAAAAAATGTCAACTGCTTCATGTCTGGTCTTAATTGTTTTTTTGTATGCTTCCTTCGAGTACTTGGAACTCTTTTACATTGGATATTTTTCAACTAACACACCACGTAGAACTGCTTAAGATTTATAATTTGAATGAAAGAACACATTCACAAGAACACAGAACACAGCTAAAGCGAACACATAGCAGCTTTTTAATTCAATTATATAAATATGTTTATCTCTATACTTCTACATTTTCCATGTGAAAGATTTTTATCACTTCAACGGGCCGAGGAGTTATGTTACGTTGAAATGGCGCGGGTGGCCTACTAACCTCAGTAATAAATTATCCCCAATTGCTTTTTATTACCATAATAATTATTTTTATGCATTTTTTCTTCTATTATTAACATTATTGTGCGTATAAATTGTTGTAGTTTGTTTTAAGCTTCTTGAAGTTAAAAATAAAATGTTAAAAATTTAGTAACTTAAATCATCCAGATAGTTTACTGGAAAACTTATCTGGATGATTTAAGTTTATAAATTTGGAAAAACTGCAAAACTTATAAATCGTCCGTAAAAAATATTTTCTGATATTTCATCAAACTGATAATAATAAAAATAGTTAATATAACAGGTTAGCCGTTCTGAATATAACCAAAATAGGAACGCTTGAATAATCTCATTCTACGAGTTATCATCACGTGAAAGGAAACATGGAAGGGATGTGGAATTTTCCTCATACAAAAAAGGGAACAATATATACATTAGAAAACATATCAGATAACAAAAATATATTGAAAAGAATGTATAACCTACATACGTTAACTTTATTAAATAAAAACACATTCATTCATTTTTCGTTCATTAATAATTCTTCCTTTTTCTTTCGTTCTTTCTTTCGTTGTTACGATCTCTCGTTCTTTTTATTCCTTTCTTTCAACAATTTAACAACTTTTTTAGTATTTTTATTGACATGTGTAAAAATTTAAAAGTAGAGGTGATAAAACTTGTTAAAAATTCTTGTATAACATCCCTTCAATACTCGAATAAATAAAATGATTCTATACTTTTTCCTCTCCCTCTTTCCCTCCCTCTCTTCCTCTCTCTCTCTCTCTCTCTCTCTCTCTCTCTCTCTCTCTCTCTCTCTCTCTATGTATGTATGTGTGTGTGTGTGTGTATGTGTGTGTGTGTGTGTGTGTGTGTGTGTGTGTGTGTGTGTGTGTGTGTGTGTGTGTGTGTGTGTGTGTGTGTGTGTGTAAAAAAACTAGCATTGTAAGCGTGTATGGTGTTATGGTTATAGCATTAAACTTCACAAATGTTTGTGAGTGTTGTGGTGTGAATGTCTGATAGTTGTAGGGTTGTTGTTTTGTTATGTTGTTGTGTTTTTCTTGTCTGAGGTCGTGTTAATGTTGTTGTTTTGCTGCGTTGTTGTTGTTTGATGTCATGTTAATGTTGTATTGTTGTTCTAGTGTTGCCATGTTAAAGTGGTTGTTTTGTTCTCGCAGGCATAAATTCAAGCAGATAAGATATAACTTAACACTGCTCTTTTATCAGCGATCTCACTTGAAAACTTTTTATTTATATCTTTGTTAGTTAGTTGCTTGATAATCCGGTAAACAAACTTTCGGAAGAAGGATTTTTTCGGTTTTTTAATAAAAATATTAAAATATTCTAAATGAAACTTCGTGTTCTAATTAATAAATGTTTTGAATTCATTAATTAATTTAAATATTTATTAAAATCTTTTTACCACATTTTTTCATTTTCTACTCATAAAGTAAAAAAAGTTCCATTTTTGAGAATTTTATTTGACAAAATGACCAATAGTGATGACAAATAAATTGTGTTTCATGCAATAAAACAATGGAAATATAAATTAATTAAATTAACACTTGGCGACATAAAATCATTTTTTATAAAAAAAAATATATTAATATCAAACAAAATCTTTTATGTTTCTCAATAATATATGAATTATTTAATTAACAAACTGTGTTATAAATGAAAAAATGTTTCATATAAAGGCACCTATGTGAAGCCAATATTATATATTTAGGACATCCATATAATTTAAAACGAGTACAAATAAACGAATTTGTGAAACCAGCCTACTAAATGTTACAAGTTTAAACAAGAGATATCAGGACGAAAAATGACTTACAACATGAATGTGAAAACTAAAATATGAATAAAAAAATAAAAAAAATTTTTATCTACCCTCCATAGTTTCAATGCTATTTTTATAGTATAATATATTCACTATAATGAAAGTATAAGCGGTTAACACTTTTTAAATATACGTTGAAAATATATCAGGATATACACACAACGTTTGATAGTCTCATTGTTTTGTTTCCCATTCTTTCTGATTAACATTTCTAAATATTAAACTTTTTTTTAAGAAAATATTTCTGAATGTCATTTAGTTAAGATCGCAAATCTATTTGAATCTAGAGCGTTGTTTATTGGTCTGAAGGCTAAAATAAAATCCTTATTAAATACTGATGCGAGTGCGAACGTAAAAATTTTATATCCGCATTTTAATTAGTAAAAATAATCTTATTTTTACTAGTTACTCTTTCTCTCTCTCTTTCTTTATCTCTATCTTTCTCAAAAAAGTTATACATCTACAGAAATTTAATCTTAAAAAAATTCAAATAAGAATTACAATAAGAATTAAATATTAAACACCACATGTAGGTACTATGTTGGGATCTTATAAAAATGTTAAACATCCAATTTTTAACTTGCAATAAATATTTAAAAAAAAAACGTTTCGAAGCTGGAAATTAGAAACCACACATCTGCTAGCAACATCGAGGCCCGCTGATTAACAGCCTGGCAAATACATTCTCAAAAGCGCGTATATTATTTATTAATACATACATGTAAACCAAAGAACGCCTTTTTAAACACACACACATACACACATACTTATATAATATATATATATTTATATATATATATATATATATATATATTGGATTTGGACTGTCAGAAATGCAATTAATGATGAAAATCCCAGCATGTCCCGCCTTTAGCTTCGAAAAATTAAACAGGAAGCTAACTAACGCGGAACATGCTGTGGTTTTCATCATATATATATATATATATATATATATATATATATATATATATATATATATATATATATATATATATATATATATATATATATATATATATATATATATATATATATATATATATATATATATATATATATATATATATAATTCGAATGTATTTTTTACGATGAGTAGTACGTAATGCATTTCTTAATTAATGCGATTGAAGACGTCATTTCCGTTCCATACAATACAAATACACACATGTGTGTAAGACTGCAGGCACACACACATACATACGCTCACAAAACTAATGTACGTAGAAATACGCGTGCGTATAAATAAATATTTTAAAAAATAACAAAGCAACATGAACATATAAATCAAGCTGAAACCATATTCTGCGCTACAACATTCTTGTTACGTCAATGCACCAAACAACTCGTGATTTTCTAACTCAAGATAATTAAAATCCACATCACGCCCAAGCCGTCAAATTACCCACATTTTCATTTCACCACAATCCTCCATAAAGAATAATCTTTCTAGCCATACTCAACAAATCCTCACATTGGATTTTTTGATCTGTCTGACCGCCAGCACCCCACCGATGAACAGCAGGACCATTCCGACGACCGCCACAGCGTACGACCAGGATAGGGACTTACCGGACGGCAGGGACGTCCCGAGAATGATCAGACCAAGGAGCAAGATGGCAGCTGTTGTTCGTTTCGTTTTTGTCATCAATAAATTTTAGTATTTTTTGCGATCGATAAGTTTGAGATTCATTGCGATTGCGATGAGTGTTGCAATTTCTATACAAGTTTATAAAATCATGAATTTTTATCAAATTCAACTACGAAATTTTTATTTCAGTAATTTAATTATATAATATTTTTAATTTATGTTGCATCAATCAAAAAATTAATTCTGAATATACTGCTATTAGGCATTTCCATAAACATAAACATTCATATTAAGTTCATTTAGTCATCATCATCGTCGTCATCATCGTCGTCAAAATCACCACAGATCATCGTCGTTTTCATCATTAGAAGTATACGAACAGGTGCAGAAAGCAGTTATGACCAATCCGGTGAGAGTGAGGTTCTTGCTGGCCTTGTTAGCGCTCATGTAGATGACCGCCAGGATGAAGGAGAGCACGAATCCCACCAATCCCGAAGAAAAGAGGATCTGACTGGCCAGGAACCAACCTGTGGGAAAGATGTGTGTAGAAATTGGTTCCTATGTACAATGCGATCAATTTCACAAGTACCTTAAAATTATAACCAAGTAGATGTTTTTTAGTAATATAAAATAAATATGAATAAACTGATGTAATTTCAAAGGTACACACACACACACGCGCGCGCACGTTGTAGTATTCGCTGCTAACCTTCGTTGTTGCTAACAGCATAGCTCTGATAAACATGCCAGAGTCCAGTGTAGAGTGTGCTATTCTGCGCGTCATTCGTTTGCACGACCCAGGACGCAGTCACGAAGGCCTGCCAATAGAAAAAGAGACCAAAAGTTATGGAAGCAAAGATGGCGCCTGTCAGTCCCATGAAGCTGATGTTGTGAACCGCCGGAGAAAGTTTATCCGAAGAAGCTGCTGCATGCTGTTGCGGTTGGATGAATTTCTGTTGTTGATCTTGTCCAGGTTGTTGGTCGTGATGCTGGTTGTCCATTTTGTCGTTGTTGTTGTTGTTAGGACTGCTGTAGTTGATGTTTTGATGGGTGTTGCAATCTTTTTGATTTAGTTGTCCCTGACTTTTTTCCACAACATAAAATGTGGAGCCGTTTTGATGCTGTTCAAGTTGATGTAGTTGGCGAAACGGATGGATGTAGTTGATGGTGGTAGTGATGAGCTGTTGTAATTTTGGTCAAAAGTGGTGTTATTATTAAATGATAAATTAAAAAATATGATCGTTGCATTCTTAATATCGGCCATGAAAATCAAATGTTCTAAATGTAGTATTATCCAAAGCATTGAAAATTGATAAATATCCATAAAAGTTTTCAGTAACCCAGAAAAAAACACAAACAATTGTAAATACAAACATATAGATAACACAAACAAACATACATATCTGCAATCCTACATACATACAAACAACCATACAAATATACATGTGTGTAGTCAAACTAATTCACAAGTACACAAACATATAGAAAGTTTCAACAAACAAAAACACAACACCCCAAAAGATGATGGCCTTTGTATACATTGATTAAAAAAAATTCTCAATGATTTATTGTTTAATAGTTGTAGACACATAAACATACGACGAGGCTGATATATATATATATATATATATATATATATATATATATATATATTTGTATATATGTATGTTAGAGATCGGAATCTGAAAACAGCAGATAGAGATTTTGCAGTTGCTGGGCCTATTTTTTGGAACAGCCTACCTATCGAACTACGTACATCTGGGTTATCATTAGCTGAGTTTAGAAAACGTCTAAAGACATACCTATTTGGTAACTCCTAGTGATCTCAACCGATGATGGCTTCGCTTTCAACATGCTTCATACGAGGAGAGTGCTGATGAGAAGCAATTATAATTGGCGCTATATAAATACAATATTTGATTTGATTTGATATGTATGTAAGTAAATGTTGATGCCTCGTTTTAAACAATAGGAAGTTTGTATATGTAAGTCTTTACAGCTTTACAATAATGCGTGATCTATTGTATGTTCAACATTTACTACATTACTACATTTACATTTATTACGTATACATTTGTGTAACTTTCATCCTGTGATATGTGGGAGCGATTGGTATCATGTATCATGGCGTATGTGATATAATGGGAAAAATATGAATGGAGAAGAATAGTGGAACAATGTAATGTCTGTTGCGTACAAACTACAGCACCTAATATAAGAATGAGTGAATCATCATCTTCATCATCATCATCTTTCTTATCATCATCATCATCTTTCTTATCATCATCACCATCATCATCTTTCTTATCATCATCTTCATCATCATTATCCTTCTCATCACCATCATCATCATCTTTCTTATCATAATTTTCATCATCATCATCCTTCTTATCATCATCATCATCATTATTAGCAACAACATCCCGATTTTCATCATCACCATCACGGCGCAGACAGTGCACGAAACATGTTGTAGCTTGTGTATATTATTAAGCAAATGAAACTTATAAATGTTTTTCAGCATATTTGTAATAAAAATATTATTGTTTATCATATTTTTAATAGGAATATATATATATTTATATATAATTAGACAATGTAGATGAACTACATATTGAAAATACATGAATACATACAAGATTATTCTCACGCATATCATTCAAAAATAAAGACAAAAAAAAACAATCCATTCATATATATCTACATAACAATATAAACACACACCACACACACACACACACACACACACACACATATTAATACACATACACACATGCGCAAACTTGTACACAAATGTATACACACATACATTTTATATGAATATACACGCGCGCGTATAAACATGTACGCTAGAAAAATTTGCACCGTCCGATCTTAAACATGAATGAAAATGAGATATTTTTTTATTTAAAAATTCTTTTTAATTTACTTTATTTCTGATGCAGAGACATGTTAGATAAGCTGTCTCCGTTGTTTATCAATTGTGTGAAATGTGGGCTACTTGTGTATATGTGAATTCACAATTCACACAATTCCGCCTTGAATGTGTGAATCTGTGTGTGTTTCTCTCTCTGTCTCTCTCTATCCCTTTCTTCTCTCTCTCTCTCTCTCTCTCTCTCTCTCTCTCTCTCTCTCTCTCTCTCTCTCTCTCTATGTGAGTGTGTGAGTGTGTATGTCTGTGTGTGTGGCGTGCATTAAATAATACTACTTGTTATAATTGTATGCATGTGCTGTGCTTGCATGTGTGAATGTGTATATTTATCGTCATCCTCGTCATCATGAACGCACGTGCATGCGAGAGAGTGTGGTTGCTTATTAGTGTGTTGTGTGTGTGCGTGTGTTTGTGTGTGACTTTTCTCGAGTACATGTGTGCGCGAATGTTCTTAGGAATATAAATCATGACAAGTTTTGTAAGCAAAATAGCGATATGGGTTATGATGGAAAGAAAGCGCAGAGAGACGGAGAGATTGATAACCTGACCAATTTCTGAACGGAGAGCATGATTTTAATTTTTTTAAAAGTCTGAAAAAGTTAATCTATCCTGCCATACCTGTTTCTTTAATTTGTAAAAGTTTCTTTTAATTTCAAAAATTAATTTTCTTTACTAATTATTCATGTTAGCTATTTGAATCAAGTTAGGTAATAAGCTATTTCATTTTTGAAACATTTTATCAAGCCAACGTGTTTCCTCTCATATATTTGTGGCGCGTTGCTGAACTAGAACAACAGACTGTGTGTGCTGATGAATTGTTCAGATAGGCCATATCATCTGACACTGCAGTTTTAAATTTTAATGTTAAAGTTTGAAGTGAAGCGTGCGTGCACATGTTGTTTGCTGATGGAAGTGGGAATGGAATGTTTTAAATAAATTTACATATTGTTCACAATTATTCATTTTCAGCCAGGGACAATCAAACAGATAGACTTTTGCCACCATGCAACACTGAAAAGAGGCTTAACACCCTTCAATAAACTTAGTTACTTTAAAATATACTCACAAATTTTTAAACAGTTTTAAAAATTAAAATATGCAAAATGCATTAAAGGATGCATTTAAGAAATTGATAAAAAGCTTGGAAAAGTTTTTAGCATTCTAATTCGGTTCAAATGTGAAGTCAAAAAATATGCTTCTTTACGAGAGCAATACAAACTATTTCTGTAAGTAAAATACAAAAACGCTAGACGCGAATACTTGAGAAAGTTTCAAGAAAATAATAAAACTTCAAACGACATTTTTTATTCGTTTTTGGTTTCGCTTCCTTCATCTGTAGTTGTTGAAAGTCTTGTTGAAAGCATCCGCATGTTATTGTTGCAAACAGTTTTGCATGAATCACTTTTCAAATTTTACAGAGGTAGTAGAATTAGAATTAAAAACAAACACACTTGTAATTAAAGTTATTTGACGTTACGCGAATTATTTTTTACGATAAAATACGGGATGGCGCTTGTGGTATTTGAAAAATGATAAATAAAAAAAAGTCTTAAGCAAATAAAATTATCAATAACCACACCGAAAATGTTGATTAACTGCAAATAAATGGGAAATTTAGCACCGAACAAGTATACAAACTATAATTTTCAATCTCAGAATCTGGTAACATGTTTGCAATCTATTAATGTTTAATAAAAACAAAAAAATCAAATAAATATTTTTTGTTCTCTTTAATCCAGCGATACAATCCGCAACTTTTTTAGCGGGTATGCCATGTTTGGAGGTAAAAAAAAATTATCATTTTTTCATATTTAAAATTTAAAAAGTTAAATTTTTTGTGATTGCAATTATGAGTAAATATAAAATTTTGGTGATAAAATTATTCGAAACAACGTTGTATGGTCAAGTTACAATGTTTTACAATGTTTTATAATGTTTAAATACAATGAATTCAACAGAAGTATTGATAAACATTTATTGACGAAATAATTTATTAAAATGTATCGTCGCAGTTCTAATTCCAACTGAACTGATTAGTGGAACGAACTAACAGTCATGGAAAATAACATTGTTAACATTTCGTATCGGATCATATCGTGGTTAAATGGTTATATTAATATTCTTTAACTTTCTATGACTAGTGTATGTGGCTTTAACAATACTGATTGGCACCCACTTTATTTTAACAATACTTCTGTTGAATTCATTGTATTTAAACATTATAAAACATTGTAAAACATTGTAACTTGACCATATTTTAATTTCTAAAGACAATTTTTTTTACCAACACCAAAACACTTCATTCATATTTTTAAAATGAAATTTTATTTGATTATTTTATGAAATGAACTAAATAAAACAAAAAAAAACTGATAATAAAAAAGAGGTGATAGCTTTTGATACATACACGTCCCATCACATCATCACAAAACCTTTTACAATTTGTGACCCAAAGACCAAAAATTTAACATCCAACCAACCTTGAAAGTAAAATTCTTACAAGAAAACTTTTCCAATTTCACCTAACAAACAGAATTATCAATTTCTAAAAAAAATTTAGTATCTTTCAAAATTACTTGACACGGAAAATCTATCTACGATTGAGACCAGCTACAAATTGTCTAAATAAAGCACTGCCTGAACATAAAAATAACTCCTTCAAATATATCGATGGAAGCGATGCTAAAGATCGGGAACAATATACAATATTACGTTACGTGCACTTGTACAATATCATTTACTACACACCATAAAACACACAGGTTGCATACCGTTCTTGCACATATATTTGTATAACATGGGTAAACACACAGACACACACACACATACATACATACACACCACACACACACCATACATACACAAACACACAATTATATATAAACATAAACATAAAGAACATAAAGAAATGATGGGAGCGAAAAACATATGCCCATATCTAAATGAAGTAAAATGTTATTATAATATCATTATATATGATGACTTTTCAAAAACAGAAATAAACACACACACACACACTCACTCACTTATGCACTTCTAAATAAAATACACACACTCACTTATATACTTCTAAATAAAATAAAGATGTACGTTAACCACACATACTATCACCACAAACCACATCCACACACACCCATATGATACATGCATACATATACTAAAACAATACTGATAATGAATAATCTTATATGTATATATATATATATATATATATATATATAGACATATTAAATTTAATTATATACATAAGAGCTATACAATTATACAAGCAATACAATATTGGGTAATGGTAAACCTACACAATTCATTGGAGAAATACAACTTTCCGTCTTTTGAAAAAATTTTTTTTCTTCAGATTTGAAAAAAAAACAATTTATAACTTTTATTTTTGTGCAATTGGAAATATTTCAGTTAATGTACTAAAATAATTTGTATTCATTCATTTATTCATTCAATCATTTATCTCTTTTTTCATTCAATTATTCACCATTCGTTCATCAGTTCATTCAATCAATCAGTCTATCAATTTTATAACTTTTAGTTGGGTTTAAATTTACTTTGACAATGCAGTGCAGTTGAGTTTGTGTCAAATTCTGAACTTTCAGACAAAATAGGAAAACGTTTTACAATCTTTCTATTAATAAACAGACTTTTTAAAATCTGTCTTTAGTTGTTGTAAAACAATTATTTATTCTTTGTTTTACAACACGCATAACATTCTATATAAAGAGATGATCAGCTCAACGTTTAACTTGTGCGACTCACTTCTCAGTTGCGGAACAATGTCGGAAGGGCTGAACAAAAATATTTTCAAATTTGGCGTCAATGGGCCGCAGACAACCATCACCAGTTGGACCGGCTTTTTAAGATATGATTTAATTTTGAAAGCTGAAGAAGCGAATGTTCGAGAAGAAGAATGTTCTATATGTCTAGAAGCGCTGGTTAGTTCGGGAAAGACTGCTGTGTATCTGAAGCACTGCTTGCACAGTTTCCATCTCTCTTGCCTGAAAATTGTGTATGAAATTAATGATAAAATCCTTAAATGTCCATTGTGCAGGTTTTTTTATAAACTTCCAGGAATGCATAGGACGGAATATCTAAATAGTCATTGGCGCCAATTTGGGACTCTTTACGTTTATATCTATGAAGAAAGCGTGAGATTAGAATCTATAATGTTTGCTATCTTTTTGAACATCATAAATATGGACCGCAACGAGGCGACTATGGAAATTGTCAGGAGAGTAATAAAGGCATGGAAAATAGGAAAATTAAATTCAAAGAATTATTTCGACGTCCTGATGAAATGTGACCTTCAGTCGATTAAAGCCAAGCTAGATGAATGGAACATACATTCAAATGACTTTGTGGATGAGCTTGTTGATGACAATGACATGTACGATGATGGAGTCGATCGAGACAAAAATTCTCTATTTGGTCATCAGAGTCTGTTGGAGTGGGCACGCAGTGGTCCCGGTGTACCTAGGCTGGAAAGAGTTCATAGGGATGGCACTCATCCTCCTCTAGTTAAGAATTTATGGATCAACAACTTAAGGAGTAAAATTAGTAAACATGAACCGTCTATGTTAGTAACTCATGTGACCCTACCGCATGGTTACGAGGAACTGCTGAATAAGTGTAACCGATGAGTTGATCGTTCATCTGTTGGCAATATTCACGCTGGGCTTGTACGCTCACATTTTCATTTGGTTGCAAGAGTATGAGTATGTGTAATTAATAATTAGCATTTTAATAATGATATTTCTAATATTTAACGATGTTTTTCATTGAGTTGCGTATTATTAGATACGCAATATTCGTTACATTCGGCCTAATAAATTAATTCCGAATGTTGTTGCTAATAATAAATAATACTTATATTGTGCGTACACTACTTGTTTTTACAAAATTTTGTTTGGACGTCGGGAAATATACATGAATATTCCGCGAAGTTGAGAAACTATTGAATATAATCGATAAACCCGGAAACGAACTGGTCTTGCGAAATTATCGGGAAATAGTTTAGTACTATGGTCGGCGTGGGTGATGTGAAATTTAATTCGGTAATAAAGTAGGAGTTGAGAGTTTTTGGTTCATCGATTCGTGAAGACTGATGCATGTACTGACGCGGAACAACTGAATATTTTCATTTTTATAGAAATTTGTCGGACTTCAGGATGTTATATAATGTTAGATTAAATATTTAGATTCGTTTTTAATTTAATAAAACTCAGCTAAAAACAGATTATTTCCGTGGCGTTACGTTTATTAAGCGCGCCTAGTCAATTTCAGAAAACTTGAAACGAGACGGAAGTTAAGGAGCGGTCGCAGCTATCGATATTTTACAGCAAAGAAGCAAAAGTACCAACCGCATCGACGACTAGTTTTTATTATTTATATATTGTATTTTACTTTACTTTTCAAATTATCTACTTCATTTTCAGAAGACGGATTATAATGAAAAGGGGCTGATTTGATTGAAGATAACTTAGATGAACAAACAAACAAGCAATCAACCACACAAACTACACTGACACACACACACATAGCATATGTATACAATGAAATTCAAATATATTTTTACAATTTCATCAACAGGAAATTTCGCAATAACTTACGACCACAACAAAACAGCATGCAAACAAAACACACACACGATATGCACTTAGTGAAATAAAAACCTCGGAAACCAATCTTTCGATTAATTTCATTCGAGAAAATACTTTTCCGGCTTTGCAACTCCAGCATTTTTATTGTAATAATTAGAAACATATGTGATTCTGTGATGCAAACGAACATTATCAGACAGACTCAGCATAATTTTTCTCGTGCATGTGTACGTGAGAAACTTTGTACACATCACGTACACTCATCATCTCTGTTTGTATAAATGTTCGGACTTCATGATACGAAAACACGATACCAAATGGTTGCACACGTTTTCATGTCTATGCATGTACATATCTGGTTGAACTGAACGAAATGCAAGGCTGTTAACACCATTTTATCTTTCATTCAAAATTTTTCAGTTTAGTTTACATTTTTCTTTACACCGGACTTGATTTAAGAAATCTATAAAGATATCATCCAATTTGAAAGGTCTTTGATTTCTCAATCATTCACCCTTACATTTCCTCCTCAACGATTTTCCACAAATTCGAGAGTTTCCGCAAGAAAAATGTTAAACGCTGATCTACATTCTGGAGATAAGTTTATGAGAAATAATGTAGAAAGGAAAAAAATGTGCAACCCAAAAAACGAGAAAGACATGCACCTCAATTGAAGATGCAGACAGCAGGTGGTTTAGTCGAAAATGAGAATTATTTAAAGACAAGAGAATCGGCATTCTTGATGTTACCCGCAACATCAGCCGTCAGCACTCCAACCACACTAAACACAGCAACAAATCATCACAAAACTACTAAAGATTTGAGATAAAACTTGCAATATTATCAACGAAATATATTGCCAGCTTAATAAATTATGAGCACGATGTACTTTACAAAACCATTAAATATATACTTTAACTATTATTATTCAATTATTTGATTTAATATAAGTTTAATGGCGAACGACGAAAATAGACAGACAGAATACCAAATGATTGAATGATAGGCGGTTATTCTGTGCTAGAGAGGATGGTTTTACATTTTTCATAGTTTGTAAGTGATGTAACCAACCTAGCACTGTTTGTTTGTTTGTCTGTTTCAGGGTGATGTGATGTTTTAATTTAGCAATGAAAAATTTATCTGTGCAAATATTTGGGTTCTTAATAATTTTACACGGGCGTGCGCTAATGAACTAATTATAAGAATGCTACTTCTTTCTTGCAGTTTGAGAAAAAATCGCCAACACAACTCGAGTTTGTTAATTGACAGAAAATTTCAAAACAACTCAAAAAAAACTTATATCTTTTATATGAAAATAATTTTGCTTTCATGAAAGATTAGTCAAACAGATTAACAGTAGGTTAAATAAATAAATTAGTTAAATTGATTGATCAATTGGTGGAAAAAACATTCAATCAATCCATCTAAATAAATGAATAAATAAATGAAAAAGATCGGTGAATGAACAAATGATTAGATGAATGAACGAATGAGTGAACGAGCGAACAGATGAAAGAATGAATGAATAAATAAATGAAGCAAGTGAACAATTAAAATCTAAACACAAAATTCGGTATCTTCAAATTGCTATCACAGATGTTAAACATATGTCCGTGTATAGATGAGTATGTGCGTTTGTCTGTGTGAGTGTGTAGGCAGTGATACATGTATATTCATGCATGTGAATGTGTGTGTGCGCGATGTAGTTAGTATGTCTGCACTTTTCAACAATTTATTATGTATATTCTCATGAATGCAGCAGTAAACATAAGTTATGCACACATGCACATGTATGCATATCTAGACGTGTGATTATACGTACAAGTGCGTACAACGTGTACATGACTCACAGTTTGTACACGCAAGTAACGTACACATTTCCATCCATAGACAAATACAATATTAGTTACATAACGTTTTAACGCTAGAAAATCTAATTGCACACTTACTTGATCCAATATCTTTCCAATATTTTACACAAATACAATATTTGATTAAACACTACAATGCTAAACCGCAACCAACTCCTACTATCGATAATTTATAAATTGGAAAAAATTCATTGGAAAGAACAAAAAATTTCAATGAAAACAAATAATACGTACAGAAAAACACATACGCAAGAAACACACACACACAAGTACACAAACACGCACACTTGAAATAATACGAGGAAAACAAACTTAGTCGGCAAAGTCTGATAGATAAGAAATATTATTTTAAATAAACCAAGTCATGTTCCTTTCTATATATTCAATAACAGCATTCAACACAAAAAAAACACGAAGTTAACAACCACCGCTACTACTGCTACTACTCCTACGCGCATATACAAATACTACTAATAAACTGAAAATTACTGATACAGTGAAGCTTGCACCAAGAGAGGAATTAGTAGCCATATTTCTATCTAGACAGGATTCTTAGATCCTATAAGACGGAAGTCTTATAGGATGTAAGAACATTGAGCAAATCATCAAATAAAAAGGGTCCTTATCGACAAAAACCGAAGTCATGCAGCAGGTGAGTGAGAAGATTGGAACGATTTTTAAAAAACAATTCCATATCAAAACGAAATTTATTTGATAATCAAAATTTTGTGAGATTGATAGTTTTCGAAATCAAATTGAACCTAACTTAAATTTATATATAATAGTTAGAGGTCTAATTTTAGTTTAAATGTCAGTAATTTTTTTAAGAAAAAAAAATATATATTTCGCTTCTTAACATTTGTTGATTGACATTAAAATTAAAAACCGTCATTCCATTCAATATATTGTCGCCTGATCTAGATAAACAGCTGCAGTAATGTAACATGGCAGTCGATTTGCACGAATCGCTATCTAAAAACGACATATAATCATAATAGTAATAGCAACAGGTTTTCGAGACGAAACAGTTTCGGAAAACTGATTAACTGTAAATATATATTACTTACAAATGGTCCGATCTGAATAGGCCTTACTGTAATTTTGGAGTCATTTTGATAGAAAAAAACTAATAGTAGTAAGAGTAAATGTAGTACCCCCTCTAAGTGAAATTGCTAAAACTTAGCAACTCACTACGTTGTTACTTGTAAATCGCTAAAAACGGTCGATAGAATTACTAGCGCGACCAGAAATAATGCACACGTTTGTCATTGTCAGATTCAATTAATACTTGCGTTTAAAGTGGTCAGATATTAATCTGATTAATAATATGAATAATAAATAAATTAATTAATCAATCAATCAATCAATTAAGTAATTAATTAATTAATGAGAATATTAATTAATAAAAACATTAATAACTTATTAAGTAGAGCAAAATATTTACATAACGAAATCTGGTAATAAAATAGATAATATGTATGTACATCTGAAGGAGTAGAGATGAGGAGTAACTCTTAACATTTAAATGCTAATAACTTCTAAAAAACCCGAAAAGACAATGACGACGACGATGATAATGATGTACTCATCAGAAAATGATCATGAGATGATAAGATGTTTGCGATAATGTACACCGATGATAATAATGATGGGGAAATCAAATGTGAGAAGGATGATTGCAATGATGGGGTGAGTAGGAATAACAGAATAACACGTGTACACATCACTAATGAAACGTTCATACCTAGCATATGAACATAAAAATGAACTAAGTGAAAAAATATAAGCAAAGCACAAAAAACATTCACACACATACATACACACCTACACACACCTACACACACACACCCACACACACAGACACACACACAGACACACACACACAAACACACACAGACACACACACACACACAAACACACACAGACACACACACACACACTTATTCACAAATGAATATACAGACATAGATTTGATTAACTACACATGTGTTACAACATAATTGACAAAAATTAATCCGGTTATTTTGTTGACTCCAGCAGAAAAAAAAACTTAAAAGATCAAAATTTCCCCTTGAACTAATCTCCAATGACGTCATCGATGGTGAATGGGAAGTCCTCAAAACCTGGCAGGCCCTTTATGGCCCTCGTATAAAACTTTATATCGCAATCTAATGCGCTGTGTGACGATGATGATGATGATGTCGATGATGATTCTTCAATTGTGGTGATGGTGATGAGTATGATGAAAGTGATGATAATGAATATGAATGTGATGATGAATGGCGAATTGAATGGCGAGGTCGGAAGCGTTGGTGATGAACGAATATGATTATGATGATGTCATCATGAAGTAAATGTCACCATGCATCATCACATCACATCATCACATCATCAGTTGCAGCAGCAGAAGCAATAGCAACTATATCATCATTACCATCATTATAACATCATAATTACCATCATTATAACATCATCATCGCCATCATCATTAAAACATCATCATCGTCGTCATCATTATCATCACCTCTTCATATTTCGATCGTCTTTATTGAAGTGCAGGTTGGCAAGATTCCTCTTCAAACTCAGCACAAAATTCACGTGGAACTGGTTTATTATGCACTGTTTCACGATAATAATAATAATAATTATTATTATTATTAATATTATGGTTATTATTATAATAAATAATAATAAGAATAACCACAGGCTCACTTGAATTTGTGCGGTGGTCAGTAGGGTGAAAATCGCCTCATGAAACCTGGTCAGTTGCTTGGTGATGTTCTCAAACGTTGCTGATGCTGATGACGACGACGATGAGGATTTTAACTCGTACTGTTGGAAAAAGAAATCATTCCTGTTATTTCATATGTGGTATAACCTTCAACAACAACACTTAAGAATATTACCATTACCTCCATCATCATTACCATCAACACGATCATCATCATTACCACCAACACCATCATCATCGTCGTCGTTATCATCAACATCACCATCGTTATCATCATTGTCGTCATTATGATAATATAATTACTATACCTTTGATAGGGCACTTAGTATGGCCGCGTCCATGATAGAGACCAGCTTCATTGATATCTCGACGATGTGATTGTTGTAATCCTAAAAGATGATATTATATCACATTAATATATCATATCCTCCTCCTACTTTTCATCATCACCATCATCATCATCACTATCATCATCATCATCATTACCTTGATCAAATGGTCAACCCTCTTAATCATTGGGGCCTGTTTGTCGGTCAGGTGGGCAGCGAAGTGCTCTTTCACCATGGGAAGGTAGTACACGAACAACTGCAGACATCTCGATGCTAGTGCTGTGGTAGTGATGGTGATGACGATGGTGATGATGATGGTGATGACGATGATGATGAGGATTGTGATGGTGATAATGATAAAAATATTGTTACCAAGATTTTTGGCATTAATGGTTTTCAAACCGACAAGATGGAGAGCTCCAGCTCCTAATATCAACTGGCAGGTTCTTGAATTGAATGTCTGCATGGGAAGGATGGTGACGACGACGATGATGACAATGATGATGATTACGACGATGTTGGCGACGATGATGATGGTGGTTGTGGTGGTGGAAACCATCCTCACCCAAATCATAATCACCAGCCCATAACCATCGTCAACACTAACGAACATTACCAACAATTATAATCTTCAACGTCATCATCACGGCCTCACCATCATGATTTTTACCACTCATAAAATCAGGTGATCATTCGCTTCATCACACATACCAACATCGTCAACACAACACCGCCACCATTCTAATCACGTGATCCTCACCTTCAGCAGTTCGACGAGCCTGGATAGCATGTCGGCAGCCGTGCATGGCATCTCGTCCACAAACTGGCAGTATTCCACCATCATCTTCAGCAGTATCAGGGCAGTGCTGATGATGATGGTGGTCACCATGGTGGTGATAATGATGACGATGATGGTGGTGGTGATGATGATGACGATGATGGTGGTGGTGATGATGATGACGATGATGGTGGTGGTGATGATGATGACGATGATGGTGGTTATGATGATGACTAAGTCGATGATGATGACAAGACGATTGCAAAACAAACAACAATACAAGCAATAACAACCTAAACAACAACATAAAAAACAAAAACACATAAACAACAACACATAAACATCAATACAACAACAACAACACATAAACAACAAACGAGAGCAACATAGAGAGACTACTAACCCGACCAAAATGAACTTTTCATTTTTCACCAGCAGATATTCCTGAGTTCTGCTGTCTGATGACAGTTCAATTTGCAAATAATAATAATAATAATTATTATTATTATTATTATTATGATTGTTATTATTATTATTATAAATAATAACTTTAACTTTAATTCGTCTCAATTAAAAATTTTATCAGAGACCATCAATTTTGCATCACTAATTAGAATGACAAATTATTACAAGAACCTGGATCTGTTTTCTTGGCTGGTAATGACAGATCGCCTGAAAATTTTATGTGGAATATGGATAAATTACACATTCATTCATTCATTCATTCATTCATTCATTCATTCATTCATTCATTCATTCATTCATTCATTCATCCATTCATTCATTCATTTATTAATGCATCTTTCATTTACCATGTAATAAGCTAAAACGACTTTGCAGTTAAACCTGATAATCCTGCAACAGCAGGAATAAACGTCTTAGCTTAACCATATGCGCGCACACACACACACACACACACGCACACACACAAACAGTTACATATATACATGGTTACACTTGCACAAGCCCACAGACAGACAGACAAAAGCAGAAGTACGAAGAAGATGAGGAAGCCAACCAGTGTTAGTGATGTGATCTGCAAGTTCTTGAAACTCCATTGGAACATCTACTTGCTTCCACCTCTCTTTGTCCAAGATCAAACTAATTATTGTTGTTGCAAATGAATGAATCAATGAACGAGCAAATGAATGAATGAATAAACGAATGAATGAATGAATAAATAAATAAATGAACGAACGAACAAATGAACGAATGAATGAACGAATGAGATGAGAATGTTAACAGAGCACTACTAACCAGAGTTTATTCTTCTTTTCTTCATGGAACTTGTTCACAAACTTCATCACCTGCGGACATACAAAAAAAAATTAAATGAACTCGAAATAACAACAACTCAACAACAACAACTCAACAACAACAACTCAACAACAACAACTCAGCAACAGCAACAATAACAAGAAAAATATTACATTCCCGTCATCAAAAACAGATGAAAGTTTCACTTAATTAGCTTATTTAACCTGACCTGATTTTGCAGGTGACCTCTCAAGGTCGTTGACCTCCGTCCGCATATCCGGTAGGTCTGACTTGAGAACCATTCAACGCATCTGGAAAGTTCGAGAAACTCAGACATTGATAACCTATCTAGGAAGCCATCCTGAGATGGTGGTCGAAGGTGACGACGATGATAATGATGATGATGGGGAGGGTGATGGTGATGATGATGGTAAGTATGAAGGTGTTGATGACGATGACGATGATGATAAGTAATGATAATAACGATGATAACAACGGCTTAAAGACCTTGGCTCTGGCAGTGAAAAGTTTGAAGCATCGGTCGTGAGCGTGCTCTGTAACTTTGCAGATGAGTTCGTTGAGTGAGTGACTCATCCTTAACCATTCAACGTGGGATAGGATGGGGTCGCAATCCTTTAACCTGGTGTGCATGTGTGTGTGTGCATGTGTGTGCGTGTGTGTGTGTGTGTGTGTGTGTGTGCATCATGATGTATCTGACGATGACAATGAAAGTAAAGACAACAAAGCAGAGGATGATGCGAACAAAACCATTTACGAGGTATCAACTGAAATGTTGAAACTTCAAAAAAGTATGGAAACAAAAAATCCAGAGCAAAGATAACAAACATCTCCTGGATTTCTTTCTTAAAAGCTGCAGTTGCATCGTCAACATCGTCATCTTCATCCTCATCATTTTGCAATAGTAACTTGTTATCATTTTTGTCATCACAACAAGAATTAACTTTAAAATTACTGACGTTGTTGTTATTATTATTATTATTATTATTATTATTGGATGATGAGGTTGCGTCAAGACCGGTGTATTTATCATCATGTGTTGCTGGTTCCTTTACGTGTGACGTTGATGTTGTTGTTGACGACGATGTCAATGTTGATGTTGATGTAGTTTCTGTTGATGTTGTTGCTAGCTGTTGATGAAAATTACCAATGTGACTAGCAGCGTCGTTTGCATAATCATCATAGTAATTGTCTTTGTGGGAAGGCAGTGTTATTGCACTGGACTCATCTGCATCTAGGCAAAATGTTGAATTATTTTTCAACATGTTTCGATCGACTGTCTGATGTTTCTCAACACTGCTGTCAACATTCAGTGAAATCTTCTCTGCAACTGTCCTGCCTATCAACCTGAGGACGTTGACGACGGCCTGAGCGGATGGATGGGATGGATGGATGATTGGATGGATAGATGGATGGATGGATGGATGGATGATTGGATGGATGGATGGATGGATGGATGGATGGATGGATGGATGGATGGATGGATGGATGGATGGATGGATTTTGTTAGTTTTACAAAAATTGTAAGTCACTCAATTAGTGATGATCTTGCATGTTATCATTAGTGATGAATTTGTTCGTTATCACAAACACATTGCAACAGAACAAAACACAAAAACAATTTTGCAACAACAGCAACACCAACAACAACACAGCAACAACAACAACAACAACAACAAACTTGAACTCTTTGTAGGACGAGAACGAGACTGATGAACAGCTTCTTCAGCATGGCTAACCACTGATCGTACGTCAACAACCTCATCTGACTCGCCAACCTGCTCCAGATAGCATTAACAATAACAGGAAAAATAACATTAACAACAACGACAAAATTAAAAACATCAACAACATTAGCAACAATAATAACAATGACAACAATAACCCCAAGAATAGCCGCAACAACGTTAACAACAAGATAAAAAACGACAATAGCATGAAAAATAACGACAACATCAACAACAACATTAACAGCATCAACAACAATAACCACAACAATAATAACAATGACAACAATAGCCACAACAATAATAACAACAACAACAACTTAACATAATATAATAATTATTATCACTTGTTGTTATCAGACTCATAAACTTCTGTCATCACAACCGCTTCTATCACCGTCTGCATGATGATGATGGTTATGATAATGGTGATAATAATAATAATAATAATAATAATAATAATAATAATAATAATAATGATACGCTGTAATTAAAACCATCATACATAATGTAACCATCAACAATCATCATCATCATCCTCGTCAACATCACCATCACTATCATCATCATCATCATCACCACTATCATCATCACCTCCTCCCCTCGCTCCGACAAACCTGCTTGATGACAGTCCTGATAGTAGTAGTGGATTCAAGGTGAAGGTCGTCCATGAAATTGATTTTGTGGTGGCGGTATATGCCGAGTGATATTAGCAATAGTTTTTCCTGCGATTGCACATCATGTATTTGTATGCGTTAATGATACGCTTGTTAAAGTTTGTATGCCTTTCTGTAGGTTTATACGAGTATGTAAGTTTAAATACGTGTGTATATAATTTAATATGCTTGTTCGAGTTTTGATATGTTTGTGTATCTTTTCATATTCTTGTATATGTTTATATATGTTTGCATATGTTTATGTACGTCTGTGTGTTTTTGGGTGAGTTCAAATATGCTCATAAATGCATGGACTTTTTTGTGGCAGACGTGTTTGTGTGCAGAGTTGTGGGAGCAAGGAATGATAAGACGAAAATTGGGACGTCTTTGTTCATAAAGCACGTAACAGAAGAGAAGATTGAAAACACGAAAATGAAATATTTAACGGCGATAATGATTAAATAATGAAAGAAACTTTACGTTGATGATGTATAATTCAGCACTAACAAAATCAATGACAGGACAACTGTCCATGAAAGGCAGTGGGTGTGGCTTTCTATAAATAGCATCAACATCATCACCGATCTGATCGACAAGGACAGGCTGATTGAAGAAGCCAGTGATGAAGGATGCAAACTCGTCTTGAATCATGCGAACTACCAACTTCTCCATCTCGTGCAGCTGCGAACCAAGGTGCCTGCACAACATCAGTGTGGAAACAACGTACTAATCATTACACTGGCCTACGTATGAAAAAAAAATATTCCCGCTGACTTGAGTATTTTTTCTGATTTTACATGTTTGAGTGATGCTGACTCTATATTTAACACCAGAAATCATGTAACAAGTCAAGTTTTAGCACAAGTGATAATTCATTCATTGAACTCTCAAGCAAAATAACGTCGATGTAAAACGAAGTTTTTCATAATAAATCAATTAATTGACGGTTGGACTGTTGTAATTTGTAAAATTCTGATTGGATAATATCAATACTAAGTAGAAACATCAAAAACAAAATTGAAGTATAGTTTCATTCATTTGTTTCTTCTATAAAGGAGCATTCGTTTTCTGTGTTGTTAAATTTTCATAGCATTATCTATTCACTTAGCATTGGTAATATTGACAAGTATCTTCATTTTGCGCAAAATGTGAAGTGATGGATAAAAATGGAAACAACAACACAAAACCAGCAAACAACGACGACACAACAGACTCCAAAAACACCCCGAAAACACTCCACAAAACACGAACAACAAACCACAATTATCACAAAATAGCACAACAACAACCAAGTGAACCAGCAGCAGCACCTGAAACAATGGAGGCCGGCGAGCTCCTGGGTAAGAACTTCCTGCGTGGTCGAGATGAGGTCGAGGGCGCCGAGAAAGTCGTTTGTGGTCAGCAGCAGCTGCAAGGTCGGCTGGGTCTGCTGGACGGTCAGCATCAGCTTCAACTGGCAACGCGGAAATTAGCAATGAGGGATGGACGCAGTGATTAAAAAAATGGATAAACTAGGAATGATAAAAATGATAATGGTGGATGGAAACGATTTTTATATGTTTAACAGCAAACAGAAAATAAATAAATAGAATTCATTAAAAAGTTTTTATTTATTCAAACTAAGCATAATAAATAAAATTCTAAAATGAAAACCAAACGAATAGCAAGCAAACAAACGAACGATCAAACAAACAAACAAACAATGAATACAAATAATAATGGACTGAATGATAAGACCTTCTCTAGAATCTGTTGATACTTGCACCTGACAGCATACTGGTGGATGACATGCAGGGGCTGCTTCACCATCATCTCATCAAGGTGCCTCATTTTCTCTCTGGAAGGGTGACGACGATGACGGTGGTGATGATGACGACGATGTTGGAAGTGATGATGATGATGATGTTGGAAGTGATGATGATGATGTTGGAAGTGATGATGATGATGTTGGTGATGATGATGATGTTGGTGATGATGATGATGTTGGAAGTAATGATGATGATGTTGGTGATGATGATGATGTTGGAAGTAATGATGATGATGTTGGTGATGATGATGATGTTGGAAGTAATGATGATGATGTTGGTGATGATGATGATGTTGGAAGTAATGATGATGATGTTGGTGATGATGATGATGTTGGAAGTAATGATGATGATGTTGGTGATGATGATTATGATGCTGGAGATGATGGTGGCGACGACGATAATGATCCTCATTGTCAGTACACTTAACCATTGCTTACTAAACCTTCATTCCACAATTTCGTCATCTCAATCACTCTTTTAATCACAAACTTCAACACATCACATCTTCATCATTATAACTCCACTTATTATAAAAAAACTTCTTAAACACTGAATTTAATCTAAACAACATTCTCAATGCAGTTACTTTAATCGCCACATATGACGTTAAAGTTACTCATCATCATTACAGTCATCCTCATTATCATTATAATCACCTTCATTACCGAAAATAACCAAAAAAATATGGAAAACCCAAAAAAAAACCTCAAAAATAGCACGGATTTACAAGTATTCTGCAAATGCCCTTGTAAATTATTCTGAGAAGCCATGGCGTCAAAGAATGCATCTGACTTGCACGATATTTGCTTCGTTATCTGCACCTCGATCAGGTCTAAGTAGTGACTCAACTGTTCGTTTGGCATCAGGGTTGCATTTGTAGAGAAATAGAATTAAGGCAAAATTCATTAAAATGTTAATTGATAAAAGTTAATTGGACGATGTTGGTTAATGTGCTTCAATCAATCAATCTTCGTTTAGCGTCCAGAGACCCAGTTCCCCAAGGTAGGAAGTTTAAATGTGCTTAAGTAAATGATGTTATCTTACTAAAATTAATTCAATTAGCATTAACATTAAAATAAATTTTAATTAAATATATAATTTGCTGTTTGTTATTTTAAATGCCTGTTCATTTAAATTTAAAGAATAAATTATTTACAAATAAATTTTTTAAAAATTTGATTTAAAATTTATTAAATTCTACACGGTTGAAACAAGCTGAAATAATTTGAAGTGATATTTTGTACAGAATAAATTATTCATTGTATCCAGACCTTCTCTTGGAGTAATTTTGAAGAACGAGGTTGACGTGTTTGTTTTTGTAATTGTTGTTTTTGTTGCTGTGGCTGTAATGGCTGTAGTTGTGGTTGACGTTTTTGTGGTTGCTTGTGTTGTGGTGATGATGGTTGAAGAGACTGCTGACAATGTTGTTGTTGTGAAGAAGGAGAGGATTCAATAGCTGACCACGGGAGGACAAAATTAAAAGTGTCAGCATCTAATAAGCTGAAACTTGGGTTGAAAAAAATCTGCAAAAATAAACGAAAATAAATGTCAGAGTACAGTAAGTTTAACCATTCATTTTTTTGAAATCATAATTTTATGAAAAGTTTTTTCTAATGAATTTTTATGAAATAAGCTCTTAGAAACTAACTTTTGGGATGACATCAAATTCTTCTGTCTTGAAAGTTGCTAAAAAGTATCATTTAAGTGAGCTAACATGCTATTAAATTGTATAGTTATTATAAATCCATTTGTTAAATGAAAAACCACAAAAATTTATGAGAAAGTTGAATAATTTTAAATAAAACCAGGAAAAAAATCATGTCAGGGTGAAAATAGGAGCATCATAGTTTAAGTGTGAACTATTTATAACTCTGTGAACTATTTATAGATTCTACAATGCGTTCAAATGTGAAATTCATAAGAGCTAGTTTTTACAAAATTATTTACATGATTCAAGATTGAAAGTATCAAGACCATATAAATACACCATCCAACTATCAAATAATTCAACATACATTCCACTATTTGTTTCTGTGCAATCTCGTCACTGGGTGAAGTCTTCAATTTCTTCTTTCCTTTATTCCTCTAGTTAGAAATATATATATGAAATGTGAAATTTAGAAAATGTGAAAGTAAATCAACAAATATATATATATATATATATATATATATATATATATATATATTTATTTATTTACATTTATATATATCAAGCGTATGAAAATATAAAGACAAAAAATTCAATATGAAAAATTATCCATAATAAAACTTTAAAAATTAAAATAATATAAAAGAGAACCTAACACTAACAGCATTAGTTTTAATTAGGAAATTTTTAAAATGGTCGTATGTAATAGTTGGAATGTGTGGTGATGGTTGAAAGTGGCTCCTCTCAAAACCCTCGCCCCAGGTTTTAGTGAAGAAGTCAGTCTCTCTCCTAGTTAGGCGCGGATCGTTGAGGAGTGCAGGTAGGTTGACTTGTGACATATACACGGTCCATTTGTACTGATCTTTCACTATTGAAGGTTCATCTGCCTGATGGTCTATTTGAAAAACTGTAAAGCATAAAGAACTGAAATCGATTTTTGAATTTTAACCGAGTAATTTCTAATAAAAAAAAATGGAAATAATAATAAATTAAGTTAGGGCATTGACTAAATAAATAAAAGAAAAGCAAATTACCTTCACAGTGTTTGTCTTTATCAGATGATTTTTTTTTGTAATCCATCTTATCTAGAAGTATGTGATCTTTCCAGACATGATCTTGGTAGTCAAGTTCACTGACTCCATCGACGGGAAGTGAAGGGCAGACATCGTTGGGGCCATAATGGCAGATGAACGAACCTCCCTCTTTAGTGCAGTGGTACTCGCGAAGATGAAGATATAATTCACGAGAGCTCAAAAATACCGCCTTGTCACTCAGATCCTTCTCACTTGACTGTATGCACCTCTGACAGTATCGCTTCTTATTGGTGGCTGTGATCGTAGAATTAGTGGTGGTCCGTGATGTTGATGTGTGGGACGACGACGACGACTTTAAGTCCGACATGTCATCTAATGACTAAAATTGAAAAATTGAGCCTCATTTGGTAAAACTGACTATCGATTTAATTAAAAATAGTTCAAATGTTCTAAAAACTTCCTAAATTCAAATGGAACAATAAACAAAATTCATATTCACTTGGGAAAAAAAATTATAAACATTAATGTACGTTAAGTTGAACACATTTAATATACGTTGTTTGTTAATTAAAAGTGGACTTTGCTTTTGGAAAAATTATTAAGAATTTTGTATTCTAAATATATAAAATTTAATAATTTCTAAAATAAATTTATGATAAATAAATTTAAAAATTGAATTTAGTTATTAATTACAAAAATATTACAGTTACAAGTAAATTTTCACCTCGGCAAAGTGATATTAAAGGTTTTTTAAACCATATGATTGTTATAAAAAAGAGTTTAAAAGTAAATTTTGGCTGCGCGGATATTGTCCCTAACTACTAATTTAGAGTCCCTAACTTAGAACTGAGTAATATCACGGAACGGATTTTGTTCCGGACCTGGAACATCGAGGAAGATGGATGCACAGAGAAGTATCGTCAGGAAGAAACATGTTGAATATTCCCCTATGGTAAATAAATATTACATTTTTATTTTGTATTAATTTTAATTAATAATATTAATAATATTATTAATAATTAATTAATTATTAATAATAATATTAATAAATTTTTGTTTATTTAATATTTATTTGATTTCATTTTGATATTTACAATAAAAAAACTTTTAATTTAATTTTTATTAAAAAAGTAGTGTTAAAAAATGTTTCTTATTAGTGAATTAGTCATTAGTGATTAGTTTGTCAATTAGTGCGATATGTCATATTACACTCATTTATTTTATAATTTTATATATGTATCTTTTTGTGTATGTGTATTTTATATATACATTTTATTATACATTTTAAATATGTTCTACACTGTATTTTACTGTATTTTTTAGATAAAATAATACAGCAATAATAATCCTTGCTTGATTCGCATCAGATCAATGGCATCATCTGTGATCACTGATCATTCATTTCATGCCATTTATATTATTATTATTTATTAATAATTTCAGTGTAAAACATTATACCAATTTAAACTATTTAGACAAAAGTTGGATTTGGCTTAGTCTTAGTGTAATTAGATGAGTTACAAGGTGTACAAAGCAAGTTTAACAAATTATTTTCAGATTGGGATGGTGTTTCTCTTTAATTTGATTGTTGGAACAGGTGCTTTGGCACTCCCTAAATCATTCTCCATGGCTGGGTGGGGTGTGAGCCTGGTCATGATAATAGTTGTTGCCTTCTTGAGGTTAGAATGAATGTACATCATAATTATTATAATTATAAGTTTATACAATTATATAGCTAGATTGTTCTTAAATGATGTTCTCCTAAATTATATTTATTTTATACTTGAGTATTAGTTAATTCATTTCATTTGTCATGTATTTAATTTAATAATTATTTTCATATCATTTGTATTAATAACTAATTATTCAATTAATTAGTAATTTTTTCCAAGTTATGTGACAGCCACATATGTGATAGAGACAATGGCATGCGCTAATGCTCTGCTTAAAGTTGAAATCCTCAAAAAGAATGAAGTTTGTTTCTAACATTTCTCATGTTTTAATACGTTCTAAATAAGGTTTACTTATTTAGATCTTAATTCTTAACAATAGTTTTGTGATGGCCTATATTTATGGGAGTGCTTGCGTGTGTTGCATTCGTGTGTGCGTGTGTTGCAATTATATTTGCATTTTTTTTTCTTAAATATGCAAACTTCATAAAAAGTACTATAAAGCATTTAATATTTTCTGAAAATGATGACTTAAAACGTAGTTTTTTAAATAATTTCATGGCAGGACCATAGATCTGGTGCCCAATATAGTTCTGATATTGGTTAGCTTATATAATAATGATATTATTATTTATTTAGTTGTTTTTTATGTTATTATGGTTATTTATTATTATTATTACGTCCTACTTCGGGAAACCGGGTCTCGACGCAAAACGAAGATTGATTGATTGATTTATTATTATTTATAATATTATGGTATAATTTCCATGTTTCCTTTATAACCAAAGAACCAGGTGAACAAATACAACAGACTGATACAGTTGATGAAAGCACAGCCTTATTGAGAGGTGAATATTTTTATTAGTTTAATAATTACTTAATTACTAAATAAATTAATTATTCAATTAATTAATTAATTAATAGATTAATTAAATAGTTAGTCAGCTATTTACAAAATTAAAAATTAATATATTTTTTAATTGTTTATTCATGAATTGAATATTTTTAAAAAAGCTGTTTTGTGGAGTCATTAAAACAATTTCATGTTCCATTTCTTTTGTATAAAATTTTGAATCATGAAAATTTTTTGCTAACAAATAATACTTTTCATTAATAATTATTATTACTATAGATTGGTTATTATTAATTTATAAATAGTGTTAACTTTTTTTAGTAAATTTTTTATTTTCCACTTTCGTTTTGTAGTGTCAGACGAATCAAGACTTGACCTCTTTGAGATTCAAGAAGTTATTGAAATGGTCGTTAATTTTTTTACCGTTTTTTTATTATGAAATTATTAGTTTAAAAAGTAGAGTGTTCAAATAAATTTGAGAGTAGGATAATTGTTTCTTATGGACTGTCAATTCTTTTGGCTAAAAAAATTGCTGATTCGAAAAAAGTTTTGGGAGTAGATCTTAAAAAATTACTTCAAGTATTTTTATTTTAATATCTTTCTTTTTATTATAACTTATTTTTATCAAATTTCTTTTTTAAATTTAGCAAAATTTTTAAATTTTACTGATTTTGCTTTTCAGGGTTCCATGGCGAAAATATTTTTCAACAAAGGTAGTTGATCTTCATATGTTATATATTGGTGAACAGAACGCCTTTTAAAATTTTAGCAATTCACTCAAGTAATTCATTATATTTACTGCTGTACTTATTACTGTACTTATTACTTATTATTCGAATTTTAAGTTTCAGTGCAACATTTGTGAAATTAATAAAAAATAACTAGTAGTTTGCAACAGCAGTTATACTGCCTTATAAAAACTAATAGTTGCTACTGACCATTACGATTTGAAGTTAAGCAAATTTTTTCTTCGAACTTGATTTAAATCGAAACCGATGTCACCAATGCAGTTGGCTACAACTTATTCTACCTCTGCATCGCCGTCTACTTGTTTGGTGACCTGGCCATCTATGCAGCAGCTGTGCCTAAAACATTAAGAGACGTCACATGGTTTGTCCGTGTTACTGTTTATATTATTTTCTACTCTAACTGCTTCAAATTTTTTTTTCGAATTTTAGTAAGTAGATGAAAGTGTTATTGATAATTTTCAATAAAATTTTTTAAAAGGCCACTGTTGGAATTATTTTATAGAGAACTATTGAATGTTATTTTTGCTTTTAATCAGTACATTCTACCCAAACGTGACTGACGGGAACCACAGTCTCACCAACATAACCAACTTGTGCCCAACACTGAAGAATGACGACCCGTGTTGGATTGACACGACGTTAACTCGAATTGATATATATAGAATTTATGTGGTCAGTTGTTTGCTTATTGTTCAATGTTCAAAATTTCAATTACCCTGGCCGATATTTTATTAATCATTAGCTTCTTATCTCAAGTCTCTGTTAATTTGATTATTTTTTTGTTTCAAGATACAAGTTACTTTTAAATAATGTAAAAAATAAATAATAACCTTATGAGGAATTGTCTACAACCGTTCAGGCATGCTTCATTTTCCTGCTTGGATCTTTCGTCTTCTTCAACTTGCAAAAAACAAAGTACCTCCAAGTTGCCACATCCGTCATGAGGTGGATAGGTGAGAGTGAATCAATTAATTTATCACGTCAGTAATAACCTAACACGTTTAACATTTTCTTCTCAAAGCTTTCTTCACAATGGTGATATTAACAATTCAGAAATTGGCGAAGGGAAAGGGCAAAGGTCATCCGACAGTAGCATCTCCCATGTACATTCCCAATCTGTTTGGAATCTGCGTCTATTCTTTCATGTGCCATCATTCCTTGCCACAGATGATAACACCCATCAACAACAAATCATCTCTCTTTAAATTATTTGCTGGAAACTATTTTTCTGTATTTTTGTTTTATTGTTTATTGGCCTTTACCGGTATATTTTGTTTTTCAAATGTTTATGATTTGTACACGCTCAACTTTCAACCACCAAAGTGTCCGAACGCTGCTCAGACTGACGACACCATCACAACGTTTCCAGTCATACAATACTTCCTAGCACTGTTTCCAGTTTTTACAATCAGCACAAGCTTCCCCATTATTGGCATCACGTTGCGCAACAACTTGAAACACATGTTCGGCTTTATTGAAAAGGACGCACGTGCCAGAATGCCAACGTGGCAAAAATTTATTGATAGATTAGTGTTTCCGACAGTTGTGTTGCTAATACCATTTGCCATTGCTATGGTGACGAGCGACATTCAATTTTTGGTGGGCATCACTGGTTCGTATGCCGGAAACTTCATTCAGTACATAGTCCCTGCCAGCTTAGTGCTGATGGCTAGGAGGAGGATGACCTCTATAAGAATTGATGACATTGCAAAGTTTAAATCACCTTTCAAACACTTTGCGTGGGTCTGTCTCGTTTTCTCATGGTCAATTATTTGTTTTATTGTGGTCACTATAAATAACATTCTCCTTTTAAAATCAAGTGGTAAGCCTAAAACAAACTTTTTGCAAATATTTTGAAATTATTGTATTCTTTTGTACATCAACTATTAAAATATTTTGTTGGATTTGTTTTGTTTTAAGAAGTATTAATAAGACATTTTGTTCAGAATATAAGCTTTTATATACATAACAATATTGTTAAGTCACTCTTTAAAATTTATGAATTATATTTTTATAATGAACCAAATGTATAATTAAAACAGAAATTTGACTTGAAAATAAAATCTTCATAAAAAGTGAATGAATAAAAATAGCAGCACTATTTGTTTTTATCATTTCCTGTTTCGATGTCTAAAGGAGGATGTTCTAGCACTTGATCAATAAGACCAAAGTTCTTAGCTTCAATGGGACTCATAAAACGGTCTCTTTCCATGCTAGATTCAATAAGATCTAAAGGCTGCTTTGTGTGTTTCACATACAGCTCATTAATTTGTTTTTTTAACTTTATAATTTCCTCGGCCTGTATCTGGATGTCAGTTGCTTGTCCAACTGCCTGACCTGATGGCTGGTGGATCATAACTCTTGAATTTGGCAGTGAATGTCTCATACCTGGCCTACCTTTGTACAAATACAAAATAAAATATTTATAGTAAAAGACGAAACTTTTCAAAAATAACCTCAATTTAATATTTAATTAAGTCACTGTAAATTGTAAAATAACTTTAAAAATAAATATCAATCAAACCTGCACATAATAATAATGAAGCCATACTGCAAGCTTGGCCGACACACCAGGTAGCAATAGGTGGCAGGACATACTGCATGGTGTCATATATACCCAGGCCTGCTGTGACAGACCCGCCTGGGCTGTTAATGTACATGTGGATGGGCTTTTTGTTACTTTCAGATTGTAGGAACAACAACTGAGCAACAACCAAACTGGACAGATCATCATTTATTGGACCCATGAGGCATATTATACGTTCTTTTAAAAGTCTGGAGTAGATATCATAAGCTCTTTCGCCTCTACCGGTTTGTTCGATTACAATTGGAACAAGCGGAGATCGAATGATTGAAGACGTATGCATATTTTTAGTTAAATTACAAACAAAGCTGGTGTAATTTTTCAACGCCCTCATATTTGAAAATGTTTTAATTAAAAAAACGGATATTGAACGAAACGGCAAAAAAACGAAACCACAGATCGAACTTCGTTAAACTTAAACGCCAATGAATTTTACTAAGATCAGCCTGCGACCTTGAGAAAACTGTATTCTATGTATAGTATAGCTATAGGTATATATATATTTATATATAATTAATGAAAATCACGGCATGTTCGGCATGATTTTTGTCAGTATATATATATATATATATATATATATATATATATATATATATATATATTGGATTAAGACTGACAGAAAAGCAATTATTGACGATATATATATACATATATATGTATATATATATATATATATATATATATATATATATAAATACGTTATATATATCTTAGGATTGGAAAAGGAAAAAATACTAGTGTATGTGTTCATTCATAGGTTTATTGTCCAAGTTCCCATGTTCATCCCCATGTTCATAATGCTAAAGGTTTTTTGAGTGTGAATCTTTGAACTGTAAAGCTAGTTTGGATAATATTACAAAAAAAATTTTCTTTACAGATTTTAATACCAAATTTCACAAAAGTGTTAGCTAAACCTTGCTCGCACAGATGTAAAAATCAAAATGCCAACAAATGTTAACAAAATTCTCATAAAGGATCAAAGATAGACACGGCAAGAAATTTTATTAGAATTCAGTTGCTACACTACTGAATTAAAAAGTTTATGATAGAGAATACGGCATGATATGACTGATTAATAAAAACCGGACTGATGAAACAAATTTTGAGATAAAGCTTAAAGACAAGCCGAGAAGTGGATGAAATGTGAAATTATGCTCAATAAGAAGTTTCAGCAATAGAGAGGGATTTGGAACAGCAACATGAAAATTGCATGCCAGCGGTTCTTCAGAAAATTAACAAGATTCACTAAAGTACGTGTCGTGAACTTAAATTTTTAGTTATCAATAATTTTTATGGTTGCATCATGGATATAAATATTACATATATCCATGGGTTGAATTATAAAATGAAAAAATTTGTGACCTAAATTAAAACAAGTGTTAATTTACCTGCATTAAAGTTTGTTTCAAAAAGAACACGATAAGACATTTCTTAAACTAAAATTCCACAAGAGTAACATTGGCCGATCGTTTGATGGGACCAGGCTAATAATTTTGAAACTGAAACTAACTCAATATCATTACCTATGTATATTTATCTTTTTTGGTTATTTCCTAAGTTTGATTTTTAAAATATGTTTTAATTAATAAATGTCTATTACTTCGTAACAAATTTATTTTTTATGAAATTTTTATATTTTTTTTATTGGAATTAGCAACTTAAATTAGTTTTTGTTTTTTTTTCTTCTGTACGTCATATAACTAATAATTTCCTCCTAACCCACCCAACCACCTAACTTAGGAACCACTGAACTAAAGTTCTCTGGGGTTGTAACGTTGTATATAAATATAATATATATATATATATATAAAATATTGTATATATTATATAGGTAAGTGGTGAACCTAGGTAGCTGAATAGTGAATGCTTGTAAAAATAGGTAGGTTGTAGATAGAAAAGGAAGATAACACAAAAGTAGATAAATTTTATCAAATTAATTATTAATTTTAATTTACAATTATGATTACCATTACATTGCAAGACTGCATATATAAATAAATCCACTAATACTAATTCAAATAAAAAAAATTTTACAAATTTGTTTATAGTTCTTTAAGGAAAAAATGGAACCTAATTCAGATTTGGAGTTTGCGTTGAAACTTCAGAGGGAAGAAGAGAGCTTGGCAAATGATTCTCTTTTGGCCTCACAATTACAGGTTTGCCCATTTTGCTTTATAATTATATTATTCGTTACGGTTAAAGGTTATATTTCTTATTCATCATTTTAATTTTAACATTTTTATTGTTTTATAATTATATATATATATATATATATTTATATATATATATATGTGTGTGTGCGTGTGTGTGTGTGTGTTAGAAGAAGAAGAACAATTTTATGAGTTTTGCCAAATTGTTGGCATTAATTATTTATCCACATCAATAGTCCTCATTTTAATGTGTTATTCATAATGAAATAGCATTGACAATGTGAATGTTTTACACTACAAAGTTAACTATAGAAAGGTAGAGATAGACAGGTCAATGCATTTTTCAAAGCTTCCATTTTCATCGATACATCAACTGTTAATTTTCAAATGAACTACTTACTCACTAACAATAACTGTTAATTTCGTTGTTAACATATTAACACAACAACTTACTTTTTTGTTTTCAATTTGAATAAACAGGAAGAATATGATGAAGAGTTGAGACATGAAATGAGGAGTGTCAGATCCAACAACAACAACAACAATAATAATAACAACAACAATAATAACAATAACAACAACAGTAATAATAATGTAAATTTATCTTTTTGGTCACTTTTAAATATTTAACTTTTAACATCTCATGAGCAATTTGTTAATTTGTTCATTTTTTAACACAACAAATTTTATTCCGATCATGATGAAAGGGAATAATTTTTATTAGGGAATAATTTTTATTTCACAAAAAGGCCACTCGCGAAGGTGAGGGCCGACCGTACGCCCTCAGATCGAACGTTGCATCCAGAGGTGGTGCCAGGTTCCCGAGAATGTTTCAGCACCCACCTCCACGAGGTAGAAGTCATCGGACCCTGAGTGCTGGCTTTGTTGGGGGTAGGAATATCAATATTTGTGAGTGAACTATTTCTAAAATTGTCAAAGTTCTAGACATTTCTTTTCGGATTTTTATATGGATTCATTATTTAATAAATAATTCTTTTTTACCTAAGTCCACAACTGACTAGTCATGTTGTTTGGTTGATTGGTTGATTGATTGTTTGATTGATTGATTGATTGATTGGATTGATTGATTGATTGATTGATTGATTGATTGATTGATTGATTGATTGATTGATTGATTGATTGATTGATTGATTGATTGATTGATTGATTGATTGATTGATTGATTGATTGATTGAATTACTTTTTTCATTCCCAGCATCTCGAAATAGACCAAACAGAGGTGTCTTTGTTAGGATTATCGGAGATGATAACACTGACCACCATGATGATGATGATGATGATGATGATGATGATGATGATGACAACGACGATGATGATGATGATGACGGTGAAGATGAGGAAGAGAGGGAGGAGGAGGAGGAGGAAGAGGAAGAGCAGAGTGGCAGGAGGAATCTTCGAATGTATGATAACATCGAAATAATAGAGCTACAGGATACGTCCTTCACTGGGGATTACGACGTACGTGTTTACCTTACGTTTCGTTTCGTATCGTTTCGTTTCAAACTTAACTAAAGTTTTGAGCGAATCCTAAAAACTTATCCTCCCCTGCTTTCAACCTCTTCAACATTTTTTTTTATCCAAGAAGGGCCATGGATTTGGACTTGATGGCTTTTGCTGTCTGCTCCTGAATTATTTATCCCTCTTAACTGCATTACGATTTGTTAATTTTAAAAAATCTGATTTCACGTCTCTTTTATTTTATTTTTGTCTAATTTGTCAAATTATTTCTTTCGTAACACTAGACAAAAACAATATGTTGTGGAATATAAAGTCCACTTGCTTCCAGTGTGGTTAAGTATTTAGAGTATTCAAATACTTATATGGTATTTAGATACTTACCCAGGTATTCAAGATGGGTCTGAAATACCTAATAAGATAGCAGTATTAAGAGTGTTTCAATACTTTTGCGTGGTTGTTAGTTTTTAAAAAATTTAATTACATTGACATAATAAAAGTTGCTCTATCAATCGTTTATTCTGCTCATTAAAATTAGCAAACATCGTTCGTAAATTTCAGTATTAATTTAGTATTAACGTCTTTTTTATTTCTAGTGCAAACATTCATGAAACTTACTGCAATGTAATGTGAGTCTATATAAAATAGTAAAAATAAAATATTTGGTAATTCATGATCCTTCCTTGTTATTAACGTGTATGCTAACCGAATGAAAACTGCATGATGATCTTTAAAATATTTTTAAAATACTTAAAGCCAGTATTTGGTATACTGAATGTTGATTAAGTATTCGCAAGGTATTTTAATAACAGTAATTGTAATTTTTAACAACACCGCTCGCTACTCTGTCTTGTAGGCTCTCTGGGAGATATCGGAGGAGATAGGTGAGGTGCTACCGCGGGGGATGAATCGAAACCAGATCAATTCCCTGCCCACGTCAAGGTTCACGGACCACAACTCCGGCGACCATCGCGCAAGTACCCGTCAGAGGTCACGAGGTCAGCACAACCAGTCGAGTAACGAGAACAGAAATTGTTTGATCTGCCTGTCCGATTACGAGCACGATGATGAGTTGAGGACGCTTCCCTGCCTCCACAGGTTTCATAAGAACTGCATTGATCAGTGGATTCAGGTCAGTGGTCATATTATCAACTTCATATACTCATTCAGTCATTCATTCATTCATTTATTAATTCATTCAGTCGTTTAATCATTCATTCAGTCATCATCTTGAAAGTTCATGCAGCTCAATAGTAGTACTTTGGAGAAAAATTTTTAATTGTTTTATTTCAATTAACAATAAATAAAATTATTTATAAAAATTTTTCTTTCAGAGCAATGCTGTCTGCCCGATATGCAGAGTTCAAATAGTTGAACAGCTGATAAATCAAGAATAATATATATATATATATATATATGTGTGTGTGTGTGTGTGTGTGTGTGTGTGTGTGTGTGTGTGTGTGTGTGTGTGCGTGCGTGTGTGTTGGTGTGTGTGTCTGTGTTGGTGTGTGTGTAACGTGTGTGTGTGTTGAGTGTGTAACGTGTGTTTTTGTTGTTTTTGCCCCTTCCGGTGTGTTTGTGTGTGTGTGTGAGAGAGAGTGAGAGTGCGCGTTTTTTCCAATAAATACTCATATAATATACATCTCTGGGCGTGTGTATGTGTTTACATGTGCACGTCTGTGTGTGTTTACACGCATATACAATCAAGATCGACTTAATTTATTTTCACCAGTTTTTTGATGCAATACGTCGTTTCAATCATTTCCCTTATACTGAATTCGTCATAAATATATTTTTTTATTATCATATATGCTTGTTTGTGTGTTTGCGTGTGTTTGTTTGTGTGTGTGTGTGTGTGTGTGTGTGTACGTGTGTGTGTGTGCACACCTTCACAAAATTGAATAAAAACTGATTTCCGTTTGAGTTAAATAATTTTCATTCTTGATCTGCTTTGTCAGTTTCACCGCTATTTATTTTATTCACTTATTTATTTTTTAATTCTTTTTACTCCCACGTAAAGTTACAAGTGCCAATAAATACAAAATTCTGCACTGCATGTGTGTCTGTGTGTTGCATGTGTAAGTGCGTGCGTGTGTGAGTGCGTACGTGTGTGTGTGTGTGTGTGTGTGTGTGTGTATACTCCTTTTTTTGAACCAACTATACCTGTTGCATAAACTGCTAGATGAATGGGCGTGAACCGTTAGGTAAATGGATTTAGTAGTGATTACATAAATACTTATTAAATTACTAATTAATTAAATAATTAGTTGATTAATTAATTTTAATAGTTCCATGATAGGTAATTCACGTTTCCCAGCGTGCCTCCTAGTTGTCATGTTCCATTTCTCTTCATGTTTTCCATTTCAACACCTAATGTGATTCAAACACGTTCGTTTGGTTTAGTTAGTTATAATTTTTTTTAGAACAAACTAAACATTGTCATTTCATTCACCACTTATTATTATTATTATTATTATTAAGAATTTAACATCAGGCAAGACTCTTGTAATTTTAGTTGATGTTCTACTTGAAGATTTCATCGCACGGTATAGAAATTTTTTTTTTTAAATTCCAATTATTTTTGTACTTGGCGAATTTTACGTCATTCTAATGTTTTCCTCTATAGCGTTTCTATCCTATTGCACGAGTTCCCCCCTGTGAGTCAAAGTTGACGAGATTTGTTAGAAAAACGTCAGGTTTAAAGGCGGGTTTATTGGTTGTCTTGTATCAACATGGAATATTTTGAGTTGCATATTTCAGTTTTGTTGTTTAATACGGCTACATAATAAATAGGTCGTTCGAACTATTGTTTTGGAATATTTTAAATGTTTTTTAATACTTACTAGCTCTAGATCGATTGCAATCAAACAATGAATATGTAGTACGGAAAACACAGAAATCGAGAATTCAATAATTGGAATTTATTTTTAGGTCCATTGACTTTTTATGTACAATTAAATTTTCTAATAATTTTGAATAAATAAATAGGTTAAATAATGTTTAACTACAATTATTACGCAATGTGTACCCACAATTAAATAAAATTTTACAAAAATTGTTAAAAACATGTACAATAGAGTTCATAAAAGTCTGCATACATATGTACAATTGAATACAAAATTTAGCGATATACACAGATTGTTTTGATTTGTGGCATACATATGTACAATTGAATAAAAAATTTAGCAATATACACAAATGGTTTTGATTTGGGGCATCGTAGGAACGTTACATGTTGAGGCATTTTTTGATGTCTCCGATTGTATGGTCATCCATTTGAACGAGGTCAAAATCGACTGTGTCATTGTTGACCACTAGGTACCCTGATTGTTTAATTATTGCGATGACCTTCTTTAATAATCTCACGTTCGTTAATGAGGTTATCATCTTTTGAATTTCAATTAATTCTTCTATTCTGGGCTCTATGTTAGTTTTTGCGGTGGTGTTTTCGTCCGATGTTTGTTGTTGTTGCTGCTGTTGTTGTTGTGGTTGATCTTTCATCTCGTTAGTCGGAACAACGACATCATCGTCGTAAATTCTACGACATCCATCCAATGAGGTACTGAATTGTAATTGTTTCTTAGCTGGAGGTGAACCGCAAATGCTGCTGTTGGTTGTTGCGTTCGTGTTCATCCTGCTGCTGTTGATGGTGTCCATGGGAGTGGAGGTCTGCTGTGGCTGGAACTCAAAATATTCATCAGATGCTTTACGTTTTTTGTTTCTCGTGTTGATGGAATACGATGAAAAAGTTGATGATGTCTGAGATGAGGATGATGATGATGCTGGCGATGTTTCGCGTGAGGATGGAGATGATGTTTCGAGTGAGGATGGAGATGATGTTTCGAGTGAGGATGGAGATGATGTTTCGAGTGAGGATGGAGATGATGTTTCGAGTGAGGATGAAGATGATGACTGAAGGGGTGACGGAGTTAACGGTGAAGATGAAGGAGAATGCGTGGAAAATAGTAAGGATGATGAAAACAGTGATGATGGTGAGGATTTTATTGACGATGATGATGACTGAAGTGACGATGATGAATACGGAGAGGACTGTAAAGATTCGCCATCAGATGACATTTTCTTCGGTCTGCCTGGCCTTCTCTTAGTAGCAACTCTTCCCCTCTTAGAAGTTTGACCCTGGAGTGCAAATCTTTCGAGGACTTTGTTAGAAACTCTGTTCGATTCACCTAGGAACAGATAGTAATCGTAAGGAATGGTTTGTCGTAGTTTGCTCATCTTGAAATAAATGATCATTCTCAACATGAATCCTCCGTAACCACTTTCAACAACTTGAAATGGAGCTGATTTCACCACTGAAAAAGAAAAGTTAAAACAGGTTAAAAATCGTTTCTCAAAATAAAATGCTCCGAATAATTAATTCATCACGTATGCATCATTTAAAAAGTAAATTTAACCTCTTTTTGGATTTTTGAATGAAGGATGAAGAATGAATTCGACCTTCTCAACAATTTCATTCCTATCGAATTTCACGTAGGCGATCCAGTCATGCGTACAGCCCTCCTTCGTTGGAGTGCCACGGACTGCTGCATGGTGACCAATCTCGGCGTTCACTTCAACCTGCATCATCAATTGTTATATTTTAAAATTATTATTAAGATAGTTTAATGATTTCATTATAAATTTTAAAATAATTTCACGTTAATGAACGTAACCAAGAATAAAATACTAACCATCTGCTTCCCATTAGCTGAGGATGTAATGTTTGTTGTGGCCATTGTCAATCGAATAACTAATACTTTAGATAGAATTTGTTAATAGAATTTATTTGTACGATTAAGATGTAAAGACTGAGATAACAGAACGTGTAGTTGGTAATAATGAACATTCCCGTCACTTATATACCCTTTCGAACCTATTAAGAGCAGGCATGTCACCTTCTTAACCTATAATAAAACAATCAGTAAGTAATTAAGTTGCACGTTCCAATCTATTTAAACGTGTTAATCGTTTCGCACGCGTCAGTTTTAAAAGACTGTAAGCAGATGGATCAATAAATGTCACACTTAGGTTTTCTTACAGTAAAATTTACAACCTTCTAAAATGATTGGTTGTCATATAGCACAAAATACAATCTTTCGATTGATTCACAATTTTGAAAGATTGTAAACATGTGGTCCAATAAACATCACACTTTATAATTATCCATAATAAAAATTACAAGCAGATTCTGCAGGCGTCCTTCAACTATTTGTCATCGGAACACTCTTTTAATCGTCTTCAATTAAAATGATTGGAATTTTAATTTGAATATACGAAATTTTTTTTAATGTTTGCAGGTTATTTGATGATTTAGTAATTTATCTGACGATCTTAAAAATTGTTCTAAAATAAATCGTAAACGTAATTTAATTTGAAAAAGTTCCACTTGAATGCTATAAACTTGTGAACATTTTCAACGTTTCGATGCTTTTTCAAAGATTTTTGTTTAGATAGAGCGATAAAAGTTTATCAATAACCCAAACCCCAAGCCAGCGAAACAGACACGCACATTCCTCCTCTACTGACTGATGATCATTTTATTGGTGCATCGAACTTTCCTGAAACGATGCTGCTAATTTAAGTTGTGTCTGTTCGCCCTTGTACCATCATTATCGCATGTCACACATCATAAATAATATTATTGCAATAGGTAGGGTAATTATTTAAGTATTTACAAACTTCTTGGAAATTTTCCAGTTTTCAATTTACTGTAATGCATAAGTTCATCGTGTTATCTTTTTATTGAGTTTGATGGTAGAAGCTATTTCAAGTCTTCACCTTATTTTGGTTAATTTACATTTTATTTTGTTCGTGCACCATTAGCGTAATATTCATATTTGTTAAGATTTGAATAATAAAACTAAATTAAATTTGTAATTTAAAGCGAAACAATTTAATAAAAAATATGCAGCTTACAATTATTCATCTAAAATTATGTCAAATCTTTGCTACTCTTTGTCTTCTCCAACTCGTTAATCTCTCTCTTGACTAGTTCAATTTCTGACTTAAATTTCAATATAAAATAGTTAAGTTTTATTAATATTTTGAATTTGATACTATCTAAAAATGATTTTCTTTAAAATGATTCGATTTGGTTGACTTCCGTGTCTCATATATTAAAGGAACTGTTAGGGTAATCTACTTTAAATGCCATCGGCACAATGCAATTCAACTGAATTTTATTATTAAATTAAGTATTAACCTCCAGTTGTTCATTTTCTTTCTTGATGGCTTCATGTTTCTCTCGCATCTTCATTTGTTTGGCTTTATTTATCTATTTTATTTATTTTATCTATTTTTTCAAGACCCATAAAAATCTGGAAAAAGTTGATTACTTGGCTTACCTTAGTTGATATCCTGATTTCAGTGTCTTTTAATTTACAGATGGCTCTTTCAAATTTTGTGGTACAAAGAAAAATTTGATAAAAGTTATTTAAACTTGTTTGCTGTTTTAAGATACTATTCGTTCTTGCAGTGTTATAACAAATAGAGTTCAGTTCCTCTTATTTAAAATTTAACGTACTTAGTTCTTAATAATTCTTAATACTCAAACAGCCGACAAAAAATTAGAATTGCGTAAAAAACAGAAGTGGACAAAAACAGATTATTATCAAACTGCGATAATCGAAATTTGAAAAATATGAAACACTGAAATCTGAAGCAGAAGACTGAAAATAACCAAAATTGGCGGGAATATATGCTGCAGTCATTTTGTCCTTCTGGTCTTCACTCTCTTCTGCAACTCTGTAGCACTTGTCGGAAAATTTTAAACTAAAACAACGTATTCGCTATATTTTACATTACTCAACTTTTTGCACCCTATATAATTTTATAAATGAGCTTATCTCCTCATTAAACATATACATTATGTCTATATTCATACATGCATAAACATACATAGGTATGTACAATATGAAGGCTATGAATAAGAATAATTTTCAGATGTGCGATCAGAAATGATTTTGCAAAATTCCAAATGAAATTAATAGAAGCGAGCGTTGAACTGGCACTGAATGGTTAGGTGTCGTTGGTTTGATACATAGCTTTGCCGGTAGTAGTCTGCATTATTGGGAAGTCCAAAATTAATGAACATTCTTTATAGGTACTCTACAAGTATACATTGTTCATTTTTGCAGTAGTTTCTTAATCTATTTATAATTCATTTAATGTGTGCGTATGTATTATTAAAATGAATATTTCTAGTTAAAAATTTATTTATTATCATATCGCTAAATTAGTGACCAAAAAATAATTACATAATGGAAGTTTGTAAGCTCTCAAATGCTTTCTCAATTTTGAAAGCCGTGTGCAAACGTCTGACTTGTTCAAGTCGTGGGTTAAGGTTTGATAAATTTATTATTTCAACATTATTTCCTACTGCAATTTTGTATTAAAGTTTTGATACTTTCAAACGTTTTACGATAATATATGCCCATTCTTACATCATATCCTTATACTTAAGTAACCGAATGGACTGGTTTTTATTTTTTATATACAAAGTTATTTTAAATGGTATATACATACAAAGTTATTTTAAATGGCATATATAGATCATTTTATTTCAATAATCATAACAATACAAAGTCATTGATATGAACACAAATGATTATAAAGTATGTGCTGTTGTTGAAAATATGCGGGTGCGCGCAAAACATTTAAAATTGTGCAAATTTGTGTGCAGTCTGTGTGCACGCGGATCAATCATATCAATTAATTTTCCAAATGTTAAAACGATATTTAATTAATGACGATAACAACAATGAATAAGCCTGGCATGATGGCTATCAACATCATTAGCAACTCAAACGTAAGATATCATCAACCCATAGGGCCAGAATCAACCAATCAGAGTGCCAATCAGCCAACCAGAGTGTCAATCAGCCAACCATCTAAGTGAACAACCAGCCGAATTTGTTATCATCAAAATATTTATCAATATAAAATTTTTGATACACTACAAAAAATTTGTTCAAAAATTTGGAAAAGTACCAAATTGTAACGCTATCAAATGCCAATTACGTTAATATTTTATTATATAGTGTCATTCATATACTTGAAACGAACAAATAATAATATAAAAATGTGCGTGTGTGTGCCTGTCTGTGTGCAAGTGTGTGTGTGTATACGTGTGCGTGTATGCATTTGCGTGCGTGTGTGTAATATTCTACACTTTATAAAACGTACATCAATATTATGATTGCTAAGGAACCATGGATACAATTAATTATAATGATAATTAAAACGATTATAATGATAATAATAAACTACATTAATATTATTAATAATAATAATTATTATTATATCTAGTAGCATTTGTAATATTAGTTGTATTGCTGATAAAAATTATTTTTATAAATATCCTTTTTAATATATTATTGGTATTTTTATCATAGCAGTTGAGAGAATTTCAGCATAAGAATTGAATATAGCACTACAAAGTTTGACGTTGACATGAAAGCGTTTGGATCCATTACCTGATACTAAAAATCAATATTGATCTATCATTTAGAGATTATCCGTGTGAAACGTCATGAATGTATGACGTCAGCGTCATGTTCTCGTTTCCGGTAATATATACGATGACGGACAAATACGTCAGAGGAAGTTCAATCTAATATTCCGTGCGTTAATATTACAACATCGTAAGCAGTTTTGATTGGATTGGCAAACATGATGACATCACCAGCGCTACAAAAATACCCAAAGATCAAAAATTAACATGATCAGAAAATTAAAACGTCATCGGAACTATCATCATCAGCATCATTATGATGATGATGATCATCATCATTATTATCACCATCATCATCATCACCATCATTATAATCATCATCATCATCATAAACAGCAGCAGCAGCACATTCAAACATCTGTAGAAGAATAGTTGGAGTGACCTCTCTTCGTATGTGATGCATCCACCTCTCCTCCTCTCCCTCCTCCTCCTCCTCCTCTTCTTCCTCCCCCTCTCTCAGATCTCACTTCGAACGGATCATCCAAAATGGCGGCTTCATCGTCGCCATCAACGTTTCCGATGTCTCTGTTGATGCTACTTCCAGCGCTTCGACTACTTACGGACGACTTTCTACCACCACTTCCGCTTCCACTGGGTCCACCACTCTTTCCGAATTTTCTCTCTTTTCTTTTTACAGCGTCGATAGGCGACATGCGGTCTAGATCGCTACGACAACTGGCGGCTGTATCTGAACGTCTTGAGGTCATTTTTTCGAGACTCAGAGGCAGCAGGGCTTGACCATCGTAATCTTCTTGGTAGTCATTCGGGGCGATGATCGAAGAGGCCCTAGATTCAAAGGTGGTAACACCGACCTGACTCGAAGCTAACCTATCATCCATTTCTACACCTTTCTCCATGCCTTCGTGGTGGTGATGTTTGTGGTGATGCAGTGAATGTTCTGATTCGTTGTTGTAATCGATGTCCAATGAATCAACTGATTCCTCTGGCAGCCAAGTGGAAGGTTCGCGGGTTCGAAACCTGCTGTCAGAGCTTAAATAATTGAGTGTCAGTTGTTGTATGTGTGTTTGTGGTTGTGTGTGTGTATATATACGTGTGTGTGTGTGTGTGTTTGTGTGTGCGTGTGTGTTTCTTATTTGCATCATTTAAATTCTTATCAACAGCCATTAATACTGAAAATATTAAAAATACATTTGTAAAATTTAATGTCAATAAAATTTTTCAAAATCATCAAAATATTTCAACCAACCCGCTTGGAGATATGGATCTCGAGTCACCACCCCCTTCATCGTCACCACCACCTCTTCCACCACTTCCATATCTGTAGCCACCATCACTGTGACGATCAATAGCGTCGTCGTGGTTTAGATGATCATCTGAAGTAGCTTCTTTGGCGTCATAGAGAGGGTAGTCGTGTGAGTAGTGCTGCAACTTTTCCAACTGCTTACGACGACGGCGCGGTAATGTACCTTGATGTTCGTTTGCTTGTTTGTTCGTTTGCTTGTATGTATGTTTGTTTGTTTTTTGACTGCTGTAGACTTAATCGTTTGTTTGTGCGAATTCAAAATGTTCTAAATTTATATTATTGTTTCTACAACTAAAAAATGTTGGAGTAATAACTTTTTATAATGGCCACAAATATAAATTCAGTTTATCATTCTGATCTAACAAAAAGTTTTTTCACAATTTTCCATCTGATAATAATCCTGACCTCCAAATGCCTGACCTCCCTCGTTTCCGGGGTCAGTCTGACTCCTCCCAATCTGGAGGAGGGCACTTCTGTTCTCCTCACGCCACCTCAGCTGCTTCTGACGCTCCTCTTCTCGCTTCGTCTTGGCATCCTGGTAGGTTTGTGGTTTTTGTTTTTTGCTGTTTAAAAACAATGATTTTATCAATTGAACAACGATTATCATTCAATCGCATCATTTTCACTTTCAACTCGCCAAAAAACAAATGGCGTCACCTCCTGACCCAACCAAACAAGCCAACCACCCGGTCAGCCAGGAACCACCCACCAACCTCCTCCCTCTGTCTATCGACCATGGTGACCACGTATTTCAGCAGGTCGTCAATCTTCGAGTCTGTTGAGCCCTCGTCCATCACACTCAGCGAGAGGGCACGGTTCAGTGGGAAGAAATCAAATTTCTCTTGGGAGAGCTTGCGTGTCATGATTGGTGGAACATTCAAGTTGTGTGTTGCGATTGGTGGAACATTCAAGTTGTGTGTTGCGATTGGTGGAACATTCAAGTTGTGTGTTGTGATTGGTGGAACATTCAAGTTGTGTGTTGTGATTGGTGGAACATTCAAGTTGTTGTGTTGTAATTAGTGGAACATTCAATCAATCAATCAATTAGTTAATAAAGCGCTATTTACGCGATGTTCAACAGCGCTCCTCAATAAATTTAACAAACAGATTGGTCTTGAGATCCGCTCTGAACTTCGTAAGAGATTGAGAAGTAGTCAGAGGAGGAGGTAGAGAGTTCAATAGAAAAGGACCAGAAAAAGCAAATGCAGATTTAGCAAAAGAGTGTAACATTCAAGTTGTGTGTATAAATAAAGCAATACAATAGAACAGACACACTTCCAATATGATATTAATTATTACAATACAATTTCGGTTAGATAGAAATAAACGATGCATCAATATTAATATTTGCTTAACGAACGAACCAGCCTGTATATGTAAAGTTCCAATGATGTATAGTCACATTGCTTTGTGTCGTGGAGGTGTATGAAGAAGAATATGTAGGCCCAAATGTCGTGTTCGTAATTTATGTGGTGATCGAAGCCCTAGTCAGAGAGTGAAAAGATAATAATAATGATAATTAAATTAACGATTACGCAATAATGCAGTAGTGGTAAATAATATAATATGATTGTTATATCAGTTGGTTGGTTTAATGAAACGTTACTCCTTGGCTATATTGAAAGACAAAATTAAAAAAATGATGAAATAAGTAATGGTAACGATGTCACTTTAAATGTATAACTAATATTTACTTTTAGTTTTTTCTGGTCCTTTAGTTTTATGAAAGTTTGAACTATAAATTTTTTAATACAGTTCCAACCTGCTAACCAATCAACCAACTAAAGAACCAACCAACCGACCAACCAACCAATTAACCAACCAGCCAACCAACCAAATAACCGATCTACCAACCGACCAACCAACCGACCAACCAACCACCGACCATGCCATGGTGTTCAAAATCGTAGCTTCCGCGGCTGCATATGAAGCAAGTGTCTCTCATGTCTCGCTCTGCTGTCCACTGATAATATTATTATTATTCATCATTTGTTTGCTATCAGTGCGTACAACAATGTTCTTATCATTTTAATCATCAGAAACGTTATCACCTTCATGTGCATTTGTTTGTTAACATTGTGCATAAGATCATTCCTATCATCTTCATCATAATTGATGCGTTGTTTCTAATCATTAGTTACATATCATTGCTCTTGTCATTTTAATCATCTTAAACATTATCAAGATCATGCTCATATGATCATGTACCATTGTTTGTTATTATCACACATATCATCATTCATATCATCTTCATCTTCTTATTGGAAATAGTTGATTTGATGTTTGCAATCATTACTTTGAGATCCCGAAGTTCGGAGAAGGTGTCAACGATGATGCCAAAGATGATGTTGAGGCCGATTGTTGTGATGAAGATGAAGAAGGAGAGATGAAATATCACTAAAAGACCAAACTTTGTAAAGGTGTTCTCGGCTGGGTGACTGTTCAGTTTCTGTGTGTGTGTGCGTATGTGCGCGCGTGTGCTTAGTAAGATGTTCGGTACTTGAGCTTAAACAAAAAAAATCAAGATTAAAGTGATCTAACGGTTGGTTGGTTGCCAGGGTATAATAAATTTTATTGGCAAGAATAAATTAATTTATCCGCTAAAAGTTCAAAAAGAAAAAAAATTTCAATTTGACGCTAGAAATTGAAAAGTAGCAATAGCAATTAATAAATCTAGAATTTCCTTCCTTATCATTACGTCATCATCGTCACCACCACTACCACAATCATCATCCTCACCACCACCATCTTTCACCCCATATCATCATCACCACCACCATCACCACCACCATCATCACCACCATCACCCACGTCAAATATCTGTCCGACGAGTCCGTATCTGATGACGGTGACTGTGCACTGCCAGAGCGTGGCGCAGTAGAGATCATTATCAGGATCGAAGGATGACCTCAGCAGGGCGAAACTGACTAGACCGTACAGGTAGAAGACCACGAAACCAAGGACAGCCACCCATAGTAAGGATTTACCTGCAAGTGTGTGCGTGTGTGTGCGTGTGTGTGTGTGCGTGTGTGTGTGCGTAAATGTGTTTCTACTTTAAAAATGAATGTGTGTGTATATATATATACACCACACACACACACAAACATAGGAGGAAATCTGCAAATGTCAATGCTTTCATTCCAGATTTACCATCTTCATCATCGACTAATACTATCCTCACATCACCAGAGCCACATCATCATCATCATCATCATCATCGTGAAACATCATACCCTCATTATCATTACCCCGCCCTCCAACCATTTTGAGTGACAGCCTGTATGACGCCCCTCAGCAGCTGGTTGTTGTTGACGATATTCAGGAGGTGGAATGCGAAGAAATAACCGCGGAAGATCGTTCCCATTATGGACATGCATAGGAATAACTGGAGGCGTGATGATGATGATGATTACGATGGTGATGATGATTATGGCGGTGTTGTTGATGATGGTGATGATGATGAGGGTGATGATGACGATATGCAAGCGGCTGTGATGAAAATGATGATGATGACGATAATAATGATGATGACGAGTATGACGGATTGAAACAGTATCAGTGAATAAACGAAAATTTAGCGGGTTATAACAGGAGTCATTTGGATTGTGAATTTTAATTGTTGTTTCGTTGAAATTGCGGTTTCATCTCATATCTTAAGTTGCTCAGTCAATTTGGAGTTGGTTTCCTTTGATAATTATTTTCTAATTTGAGAAGCAAATAAATTTTGTTAGTTCGTTGGTTCGTTCGTTGGTTCGTTCGTTCGTTCGAATGGACAAGGTAGATATTTGTAGATTCAGTTTCAAACAGATAAACTGTGAACTATTTAGTTTTACTCGGTTTTGTCAATTGAAATAAAAAGGAGATGAACTGTGAGACACACCACGTAGTAGAAGGTGGTGAAGCTGATGAAATGAACCTCCAGTTTCGATTCATGTACTTTCTCTTCGTCTTCGTCATCACTGCTGTGTCTCGAGCACAAGCGTCTTCAGAAGAATAAGGAGAGATGTGCATTTATAAGAGAATAATTATTAATAAATTGATGTAACTAATAAGATTTTTAAAAAATAGTGGGCTGAAATTAATCTGATTAGTGACAAAAGATTTATATTTATCAACAAATGAGACAACTAATTTATCAGCCAGTCAAACATCTTAACAATCAACTAACCAAACAACCAACCAACCAGCCAACCAATTACAAATTTTTAAAACAATTAACCAATCAGCTAACAGTGAATCAGCCAATAGTAAATCAGCCAACCAAACAATCATGCAACCAATCAGCCAGCCAACCTATCGACCAATCAACTAACCAACCAATCAACCAACCAACCAATCACTCAGCTTACTTGGCCTTATCAATAACAGTGGATATTTTCGGTAGAGTGGGATGGTTGGAAAGGAAGTATGTGACCAGGACGAGTCCGCAGAAAAAATTATGCACCCCACCGAGGGCCAATATTATGACGTCATACTGCTCCAACTCGATGCGAGGCAGTGGTCTGAGTGGAGAATTTGGAAAAAATAATTGTTAACATGTCTTTCATCTATTAATAAAGTACGGTATAACGCAATGTACTGTAACATAATGTTATGTAATTTAATGTAATTTAATGCAATCACACGAAACATCACTATGCATTCGATACCAGTTATGAAGCGATAAAAATGATGAACTGATGATGAGTGATAACATGGAGGAACGATGAAATATCTGTCAGTATCAACAGCTCAGATAACAAAGCAATATCAACAGAAACAACCACAGCCGCAACAACAGCCGCAGCAACAGTTGCAACCACAGAAGAAACAAAACTATCATAAAAACTTAATGAGATTATAGGAAGGACGTAATATGACCAACTCGTATAACTCATTTGGAACTGAAGTTGCGTTCTTCGTGATTTCCACATCCTCCAGCGAGGTATGTGCATTCCACGTGACCAGCATCAAAATGTTGATGGCAACACTCAACAGGATTACTATCTGATTCCATAGAACCCTGATTTAATATTTCCTTATGAATGTCCTTAATTCGAAACATATAAATCCACAGTGTTTGGAAAGTGAAAATAACCTATAAATATTTATAGCGTTATAAACAGAAAATATTAAAATGTCATACAAATACGTCAAAATTAATTAATTAACTAATTAATTAATTAATTCATTCATTCATCCACTCATTGATTGATTGATTGATTGATTCATTCATTCATTCAAAAATACTTCTGTGAAACCCATCCAAGCCTCACCATTGTTTGGTGAAGAAGGTTGCAAAAGGATTAGATAGTATCTTGCGCTGATAGTAGATATCTTTGAGAATATCCTTGGACCACTTCATCATGTCTCGAATTTTGTTACTCGGAGAGGATCTATCTACGTTCCAAGTCATCTTCTCCTTCACCTCCTCACGAAGTACATTCTTCATTCATTTATAGGAAAACATTTTATAATTTCAAAATTAAAAAATATTCTGAAAGAATTTGATCATTTGATTAACAAATAATCCAACCGTTGAATTGGTTAGTTATTATTCATGATTGACAAATTAATAGTCTCAGTGAAATGACCCTGACCTTGTTCTTGACCCGGAAGTTGATCTTCTGCAGGCAGTCATCCTTCAAGACTTCGATGGACATGGTGTTCTTTTTGTAGTAATTGTAGGCCTCCAACTGCAATGCCGATATGTTGGCTTCTGATTTGATGGTTGGTTGGTTGGTTAGTTGATTGGTTGGCTGGTTGGTTGGTTGGTTGGTTTGATGGTTGGTTGATGGTTGATTGGTGGTTGGTTAGTTGGCTGTGGTTAATTATTAGTATATTGATTGATTATGCTATTAAAAATTGTTTGTTATAAATTAACCACATTAAAAAGTTGATGGCTTGGTTATTAATAAGGCAGGACGAAGAACAAAATTATATTAGATCGAAGCTTTTTAGAATTGAATTATCGTTTTTCATATTATAATCAATAATAGAAGCAATGACTAATAGTTATATTGTATGCACGTATCTCATATCTTCATCGACTCCATCACCGTCCCACTCAACTAACTAACGTTCTCTCTTGATGAGTCGGGGATCCAGATCGTAGATGCGAGCGATGATGAGGTAGAAGACGAAGCCAACTTCATCCAACAGTTCCTTCAACTCTGGATCGATCTTCTTTAATTTACATTAACAATATTATAAACCTCCGAGCAAAAGAACACAACCAAATGAACTTTAACCTTATTCTCAGAAGGAGCACTGTCTGGTGATAAGGTCAAGAGTTGGGTCATGTTAATAGGTGCCCCCCTTGCACCAGAAGCCCCAGAGACACTCGTCCCTGTGCCACCCTCCGTCGTGGAAGCCAGTGCAGCCGCTTTATTCGCTGCTTTCAAACTTTTTGCTTTTGCTCGTTCGGCCTGCATTTTTATTGATAATATTATCGATTGTTTTATAAATTAATTATTTTTTAATTTGTTTTAATAAACTATTTAACAAACTCTGCAAGCATCGTAGCAAGAAGCCATGCATCTGTACAAGGCCTCCTTATCCAATGTATCCTTCGTTTCCTGGAGGTGTCCAGCATAAAGTTAACCAAAGGTCAACCAATCAATTGATTTCAAAATTAATTAATTAGGTAGTTAATTTATTTTTTGGTCAATGTTATTTCAATTACCATTATAATTTATAAAAAATTTTATTAAAATTATTGGTGGAAATGACGATATGAATGTTTGGGCAATATGTTAGTAAGAAAATGAGCCAGTGACCTTAGCCACCAATAAACTCTCAGGCGTGTTCTCTTCAATCATGGACATGATGAGGTTGCCAATGGTTAGCTTTAATCGTAGAACCTGACGACCAAAAACAACAAAACATTTCAAATAATGACAATTAAAATTTAACTATAATAATAATTAATAACATTTATTTAATGAGTTATTCATAATTGTTATCATAATAATGAATAATATTATATTCATCCTAGCATCCTCACGTCTTCCTCTTTGCAGTTTTTGAACTCAGCAGCTCTTAAAATGAAATTGACATAGTCAACAACCTTGCTGTTCAACATCATGCTACGATTCTGCTGGTTCCCCTGGTAGCGTCATGTTTCAATTATATTCATCATTACATACTAATGTATTATGTTACTCATCGTCATCATCTATGTCATTATCGTCATCATCTACGTCATCATCGTCATCATGTTGCTAAACATTAAAGTTACATCCCGATATAAAAATTATCATTATCATGTTTCGGTAGATTTATCATCATTTCATCATTATTAAAAATGCAGAAAGCGAAGTAACTAAACCACGGTGAATTCGTTCAGTGTTTCGAAGAGTTGGATGCTGAGACCAATGTTCTGAGCCGTGATGTTTGAGTAGACCAGATTGACAAATTGGGCCGTCTCAGCGATTATGTTGAAAGACTTCAAATTGTCTGGCTGTTCTCGCAAATAATCCTTCAAGATTTTCGTCAATGCAACATGTGCAAGAATAAACGAATTTATATTTTAAATGTGTAATGAATGCTCTTCAATAAATGGCAACAATTAGCTAGAAATAAAAAAAACTAATAAAATAAAAATAATGACCTGCAGCCCTGCATGCTGTCCATCGCACATACGAGCCAGCAACGAAAGAACCAACTTGATGAAACCATCATCTTTCTGTTCGAACTCTTCAAAGTCATCATCACCCTTAGCGTGTGATGCTGCTGCTGCTGACGATGATGTGGTTGCGGTGGCTGCTTGCTTGTCGTCAGCATCGTTGTCGTTTGTCTTGTCGGGCTAATTGGGTGAATTTGACAAAGATAATGATGTATCTTGATAAATAAACTTTGATGAAACGCTCGTAAAAAAATAACGTGAATTATTAAATCGTCACGAGGATAATTATAGCGATGATGACTAAAGTGATGAAAAGTTAACAGTAGAAGATGATAACATCGCAAAACAATGCAACGTACATACAGATACCTTGTTCAGTCCGTTAGGCAGGTTGCCATTGGAGATGCTTCTTTCTATGTCCCCAAGACTGGTACTGGTCATCGGCATCTTTTCTTTTTTAGATGATTTCTCCTCGTTGATGAGGTTTTCTTGCGAGGGTGATTTTTTCTCCTTTCGACTCCTCAACTCTTGTTGCTTCTTCTGACGTTTGGCCGTGTTGAACTGCAGTGTGCTGAGGCTGGCCTGCCTCTGTATTGTTTTGGTGGTGGTTTTGCTGTATTAATAATGATTGTTGTAATGGTGTTAAAGATGTAGAACATATTAACAATGATGATGACGAGGAGAATGTCAATGATGATCAAGATGATGATGATCAAGATGATGATCAAGATGATGATAACGATGAAGATGATGGTTATAAAAGAAAAGATTAAACGACCTAACGACCATGACCTAAGTGTTGGTAGATTATTATGTGTTAACAGTTAATGATACACTGACGGAAGGTTAAGCAAATTTGGTTATACTGATTTTGTGACAATAAATTATTTTTGGTTTTTGTGAGTTCTTTTAAAAAAGTTTAACCCCTTGAGAATATTTCTGTCTTTTGAGGGCGTTGTCAACTGCTTGAATTTCCTATGGCAAATTTAAAAAAATCAAAATATAACATCTTTTAAATAGCAACTGAAACTTATTTTGATTTGTTTAATTAAAAATAATTTTTAAAAAATATCACCAATCAATCAACTAACTAACCAACCAATCAACCAACCAACAAACCAACCAACTAACAAACACTCACTCACTCACCAACCAACAAACCAACCAACCAACCAACCAACCAACCAATCAACCAACCAATCAACCAACCAACCAATCAACCAACCAATCAACCAACCAATCAACCAACCAATCAACCAACCTGCAGTGCTTTCTTCCCCGCCATAATTCCCATCTGCATGGATTTGTTCTGTGACAGTGCTTCCTTCGCTCTTGCCCTCTGCTGGGCCGCCAACGATCGTCTACATTTAAATCATCCACAATTTTTAGAACACCGTCTTGTTGCATCTTTTTACTTTAAATTTACCAAAATATTTATCAAATGTTTAAAAAGATAAAATTATTTAATGCTAAACTACTAGACCAACCAAGCAAATGAACATCACAGAAATTAAATGTACCAACTTTTCTTTGATAGCAAGAGCGGAAAGATGGATCCTGGTTCTGATGGCTGCAAAAAAACTTTCCTCCCTCGTCTGCCAGAAATATGTCAACAGTGAAGTCTGTACGATGCAATTTAAAAATAAAATTTCCCATTAATACTTGTAACTATTTGATTTTCAATTTGTGAGTCAGTTGGTTGATTAATTGATCAGGTACAAGTTAAAAACGAGATCAATCAGTGAAGCTAACTTGAACAGGTTCGTTGGCATTGAAGAGCATGACGGACACAAAAGCCAGAACCTCCTTGGCCACCCTATCGCAGGGCCTCGCAAGATGAGGGAGGGCCCTCCTAACAGACCCCATCTCGTTCAGTTCCACTTGCACGTTCCTTATCCACGTTAAATGTCTGAGCCGGTTGATGAAGAAAAAATTAAATTAAACGTAGAATAATAAATAAATTGTAAAGATTAAGAATTAATAACAAATAATTTGTTAGAGGAATATTAAAAGAACTTTTTATGAGCGGAGGGATCTTCAGCCCAGTTTTCAGGCAGTTTGCGTTCTTCGTTGTGAATGACAGCCCTGAGCAGCTGTAGACTCCTGATGTCCAGTTCTTCCTGGTCCATCCGCATGAACTCTGACGTCAGTTTCGGGTACATCTCCCAAGAAATTCTGGTCGTGGGGAAAAAATTGTCTGAGTATTGCTATTTTAGCTCTTACATTTTTTTTTAAATTTGTATCTACTGCAATGCAAATATTTATAAGTTTGTGATGTGATTGTTGTTCGAACAACATGATGCTTACAAATGTAACGATTAATAAGATTAATTAATTATTACATTAGTTTATGCTGTGATCAATAATTAACAGTGAAATAAATAAACAAATTTGAATTTTAAATTAAAAAAACAGCTGGCCGGCCAAAAATAGAACAACGCACGCCAGCTGGGTGACCAGTTTCTTAATGAGCTCCAATCTCTTTTCAACTTTTTTTTCATTCGTCTTTATGAACCTTTAAAAAATTAATGAATCAAAAAGTAGTTGTGATTTTAACAAACTTTTTAAAATGTTAAAAATTGTTAATTATTAAGCGGAACAATAAACATCAGTAATAAATTTATAAATACCGCTAACCTTTTGAGGTGCTCTTGAAATTCTTCACCCAGAGGCAACTCTTCATCACCGCCCAGCCTCGTGTACTCTGTAGTTGCAGGTTGTTATTTTAATTTTTAAACTTACATTTCATCGTTATTAATTAAATTCATCGTCTTCACCATCATTCTCCAACCTCATCATCTTCATCATCATTTGCCGTCATCATCATCTTCATCATCATTTTCAACGATATTGTTACTTCTATGTCACAGCACTTCAAAATATTAACACCAAACTTCGTCTCTTTACTATCATTTTTTAATTCAGCATTTAAACTTTTAACACCCTCATCACATAATTACATATATAATCATCTCAATCACAATCCTCATCTCATAATCCCAATTATAAATCATACTCTTAATCCCAAGCCTAATT